AACCACCAGGCTGTGACACAGTCATACCTCGATTTTTTTTTTTTTTTTTTTTTTTTTTTTTTATTTTTTTCTTTGCGCTCTACTACAACAACGTCCCATTAGTAGCCAAAGACATCTCAAAAACGTGCACTCCATGCTTCTTGCATCACCACACTAGGCCAGAGGAGCACTCAGCCACCTACCACACTATCACGCTGCTGTACCACGAGTCAGTTGACGCAGACGCCTACAAAGGCGACATTGCGCATGACCCCAACGCAGCTGAAGTCAGGTGGGTCCCGCACAGGAAGAGAGGGTCACCTCGTCGTAAGCGTAAGCTGCCTGTGATAAAGCCGTCGTCACCAGTGGCCAACGGCACCTCCACGCCGGTGAAGTCAAAGTCCACCGTCGACACTCCCACCCCAGCCACTCCTCACACCGCAATGGAGGAGGACTCAGACCGAGATGAGTCATCCGGCATGCTGCTTGACAAGCTGACGGCTGAGGCACCTACACATCCAAACGCATTAGTCGCTTCGACTACCAACGAGCCACCAACACCTACGACTAAGGAAGTTGTTGACCCACCAGAACAGAAGGCTACCTTCAAGCCCCTCTCTCTCCGTAGAAGACGTGATGAGCCAGCCACTCCCCCCCATGCGGGAGTGCCCAACACGGTGTCACCCATCAACCCAATCAAGAAGGCACCCAAGAAGACTCGCGTTCACCCCCCAGCATCGATACCAACCCCATCTTCCCTCCCAACAACAAAAAAAACATAATCAACAAAAAAAAACAGGAAAACGAAACTAAAATAGGACTAACCATTCCCGCCTCTTCAATGACGCCCATTTATTTGCAATATAATAAACCTCCTCATTAAATAGTCTAAAAAAAAAAAAAAAAAATCATTGACCAATCCAACTTAGTTTTGAATCGATTGTCTTCCACGGCCTCAAGCTCCCAGACATCTTCAAGGTCATCAGCACCCTGAGAGGACCATCCTCGCGTAACGCCCTCTTCAGGTTCTTCTCCCATACTCTCCCAATCAATCATATGAGAGCAGACGCTGACTGTACCCTCTGTGGCAACTCCTGCACAGACCAACCCTACAATCACTTCTTCTTTGACTGCAGCAATGTGGCAACCCAAGAAGCCATGCGCCCAGCCTTAGACTTGGTGAAGCAACGCTCTGGTATCAATGTCAGAGAATGGAACATCAAAGCACTGGACATCTCCACAAAGTCTCGTCGCCCCAACCTTCCATTCATCCACCTCATGGCAATCATCGTCAACTACCTCTGGCACTACATCGCCAACCACCTCTTTGGCAACAAGGAGGCCCCGTTGACCAAGCTCAGCTTGGTGTGCATCACATCCTTCAAGTCCCTCCTCCGCCAGGAGTGGCGTTCCCTCATGTCCACGCTAACGAGTCACATCCTGGCCGGACGACCAGTCAACATCAAGAATGAGATGGCCGAGTTCACTACCAAGTGGCACCTCAGCACTCGCAACAGCGACATCCGTCTTCCGCCTCTGCCGCCAACTATCAACAAATACTTGGTGGCCGAATTCAGAGGCCTACAGTAGAAAAGAAAAGAAAGAAAAAAATCAAGAAAATTCAAAATCGACTAACTTATATATATTATCCCGCCTCTTCAATGACGCCAATTTATTTGCAATAATAATAAACTTCCACTCTAGTCAAAAAAAAAAAAAAAAAAGAATCGATTAGTTTTTAAAAATTTCTATTAATTTAATATCTATCTCTATTAATGATTTTGAATAGAGATCAACCACATCGATATACTATGTCAGCATCTATCTTGTGATGTTCTATGTTCACATGTCATACTTATGTTCGATGGACTGAATCAAGTTGAATACCAGCTTGAAACGCACAATACTCTTCAAAAGAATTCTCTTTTTTTTTGACGAATTATCTCTTTCACATTCATTAACATCTGACATTTGCATTGTATCAATCACATTTTATATATCATTGCTATTCTATTACTATCTTCTCAATAGACAGACAATATAGAATATGGCAATTCACAACAGTCTAATTGAATGGGTATGTTGTTCAACAACATATTACATACTACTAGAAGTAAAACATATTCTAACATATTCATCAACAACAACAACTTTATAGATCAATACATTTGATAATCTACCTTCACATTGTAACTCACTTGATGATCTTGCAGATGGTGTACTATTATATGAACTTTGTAGACAAATGTAAATATACAGATCACTGTGATCTTTAACATCATCACTAACATAATCTACTTTACTAGATCACCAAATCATTTCGATAGAACATTAGTATCAAAGGATGATATAGGTGATAATTGGGTATTGAGATCAGAGAATATAAACAATCTATTATCATCTCTTGATCAATATTACGTCAATGAGTTGGGATTGAACGATCAGACTTCAACAATCAATGTTGAAACAGTGGCCAAAGATCGTAACGATGTAGAGATTATCAAATTGATAGAGTTAATACTTGGTGTAGTATTAGAGTGTGACAACAAGGAAGAGTACATTGGAAAGATGCAGATATTGGATCCAACTGTACAGAATGATCTAATGGTAATCATTGAAAAGATCATGTCAAATCATCAACAATTACATGTACAACATGTACAACATAATGTACAACAACATGTACAACAACATGTACTTGATAATGATCTTCAAATCAAAGAGTAAGAGACATTATTTTATTAATATATATATATATATATATATATCTAACTATGAATGACACTAGACAACATAACAATGAAAAGATATTACAATTAGAGATACAGTTGGAACAATTACAACGAGACAAGAGTGACTTGAGGAATGAACTATCTGATATGTCTGTGATTGTAGGTCAGGCAGAGAGAGATAAACATAGTTGGAGTAGGGAGCGTGAACAACTACAAGAGGTATGCTCCAACCTACAACATTCATTAGAGACATCACAGAGGTCAATGGATGAACTCCGACAACAACAGGCAACAAACAACATTATGAGTCAGGTCAAGGAGGAACTCAGTGCATTGCAACAACAGATACAGGACAAGGACAAACAGATACAGGACTTTAGGAAAAAGGTGGAAGAGTCCAACAAACAGAACAGAGGTCTAAAGGATGAGGTTGATATGCTAAAGGAGAAGGTGTCCAATGCAGAGCTGACAGAGGAGAAGTTGAAAAAGTATCAACAAAAGATCGAGGAGAATATGGAACTGAAAAAGAGGATAAAGTCATTGGAAGAGAATAATGACAATTATCTCAATCAGTTGTTGGATATGGAGGAGCAGGTCAAGAAGGCATCATTGTTCAAGGGTCAGTTGGAGTCTACCAAACAACTACTCACATCATTGCAGATTGACAATACCAAGTTGGAAATGTCTGTAAAGATGATCTCGGATGAACGTGAATTATTACAATCTACTCTGTCCAGGTTGGAGATGCAACATACATCATTACAAGAAGAGTTGGAGAGTAATAAGAAAAAGTTGGATCAAATGGAACATGATCAACAATCTAAATGTATGTGTATTTGTATTCAAGTAGTACTTGTGATTACACATACTTACATTATATACCATAGTGTTAGAGACGACAACTCACAACTCTTTTGGAATGGATCAAATAATTGTTGATCCATCTACAAAGATAAAGACACAGAGATTGGAGAGAGAGATTAGTAGACTACAAGAGTCTGTGGAGAGGATACCAGAGTTGGAGAGACAACTTGAAGAGGCAGTGGCCATCAAGGATGAACTTTTGAAGCAAGTGTCATCAATGTCCAACAACAACAACCAGTCAACAGTTCCAGCAGCAATAGACAATAATGATCAATCAAAGGAAATAATTCAACAATTGAATCAGACAATCAAAGAGTTAAAGGACAAGAATGTAGAGCAACAACATGTCTATTCTCAATTGCAAGAGAGTACAGAGTCAACAAACACAACATTGAAGGAGAGAAATCTACAGTTGGATACATTGTCCAAGGAGGTTGCACAACTTAGAGCAGAGGCAAAGTTGGCTGCCGAGCAACAGGCCATTCCAACACCACAACCACCAGTACTAGACAATGAGTCAGCCTTTAAAGAGACAATTGCTTCTCTTTTATTGGAGAAGGAGAGATTGGAGGGTTATCTTCGTTCGGCAAGAAAGATGATCAAGGAACTACGAGAGAAGGAGACCGAGCGCGACTCTGGCAACAACAAGATCGATCGCCAAGAGTACATTGCCGACCTGGAGAATATTTCAAAGTTGAAGGACGATCACATCAAAAACCTGACGAGACAGATCAAGGATGGCAAGGAGGCATCACAACGCGAGTTGAATTTGATGTTGTCATCATTCCTCCGATTGGGATCAGAGAATGAGGCGCTCAAGTTTAAGCTGGATGCAGCTGCTGCCTCTACCTCTAATCAATCATCTTCTTCATCATCATCAGCATTGCCACAACAGAAATAAATGTGTCGACACACTTTAATTATGATCACTCCAATAAGTTAAAGTTGTACAACCTCATTTTTAAAAATGGTAGTTCTGGTCGGTCCAAAAGATTTATATTATCTCCAGAGTACCGGAACAGGAAGATGGCCTGATGACAAAGGTGTTTAGCACAGTGGAAGTTCGATTTAATCAAAAATAAGCAGCTGAAAACTCAGCTGAAATATGGAACAGGAAGCTGGGCTGATGATAAGGGTGTTTAGCACAGTGGAAGTGCGATTGGCTACGAACCAATAGGTCGCAGGTTCGATCCCTGCATCACTCAAATCCTTTTGCTTTTGTAACATGAGGAACTTCCAGAGTCGAATGATTCGTTTTCCAAAGTGTTTTGATGTCGCTTTGCGCACTCAATCACTTCATTCGTTCATTCATAGACAGTGGGTCTTCAGTTACTAACTGTCATACTCTCAAGTGAACGTTCAATAATATTAAGAGTACATCTCTTTATATTAAAACATCTCTTTATATTAAAATGCAAAAGGAATTGGGCTCTTCCGGGAATCGAACCCAGACCACTATCACCCTAAGATAATATTGTACCATTCAACTAAAGAGCCTTCAAAATTGGGCTTTTTCATCATTTTGTATATGAGTAGGAAAAAATCGATTTTTTTTAACGATTATTTTATTCTATTAATCAACAACAGAGCCTTCAAAATATGGAAATCAATCATATCATGATATTCAGTTAATCATTGGAGAAAAAAGTCCAATAACTCTTCCCTTTGTCCTTGAATCATTGGAAGTTGTAAATCCATCATGTCTGGCACTAAGTGTCAATCTAAACAAAACAAAACTGAACATCATTACGACAACAACAAATATATAATATTATAACTAGATGTCCAGCAGTACACAAAAGACACCGATATGGCAGTTTAAAGCCTTCCAGAACTGGGTCAAGACCATCCTGATATCAGAGTTGGTAGAGGTCGATGGCAATGTTGCAGAGTTGTTCTGTGGAAGCGGTTTGGATCTTGGCAAATGGGAAAGAGCAAGGATAGGAAGATATATAGGTATAGGTAAGTGATTGACAACTGATAGTTGCTGTACATCATTCATTATACTCTCTTCAATCTACTAACTTTCATCATCATAATCATCATTGCCCAGATACAATTCAATCAAGTCTCAAAGAAGCAGAAGCAAGTTGGCAACAAAGAAAGTGCACCTACGATGCTCAATTCTTGAATATAGACACATTGAATGTAAGAGTCTCTCTAGTAATGCAGTGATAACGTTGACAACTGACTGACTCACTCACTTATCACAACAGACAAACTTAAATGAACAACTACCAACAGATATGCAGTTTGATGTTGTATCATGCTTTGATGGCATGCAACGAGCATTCAGTGACATGGAGCAGGCCAACACATTCATCAAGAACGCAAGCTCAAGACTAAAGAATGGAGGCTACTTCTTTGGCATACTGCCCGACTCTTCAGCCATTTGGTACAAGTCTCAAAAGGTGACCTCTGGTCTACCCTGTATCAAATCAACATTGTTCAACATTGACTTTGGATCAGATACATTCAGCTTCTTTGGCAGCACCTACAACATGTCCATGAAGGATGGCTCCAGCATCACAGAGAGTTTGGTTCACTTCCCAACATTCATCAGTCTATGCAAACAACACGGTTTGTTATTCATAGAGGCATCAAACTTGTCAGAGTTCTACGAAGACAACAAGAAGAACTATGATGCCAAACTCAAACAATCAGGAGTATTGGTTGGTAAAGGAAAGATAGAGCCTGCACAGATGGAGTTGATAAGTATGAAGTATTAGGACAAAGGGTGTGATATTGAACAACATTGTAACCATCTAACAAACAACATTGTTTCCAAACCAACATCTAGGCTTGTACACTACATTCATATTCTACAAGGAAACAGAATTACCAAAGATCATACAGAGTTAACATCCATTTATATAAATATAACATACAGTACAGTGTAAGGAAGAGGTTAAGTTTAACATTGGATGGATGTTTTATTTGGTTGGATATATATTATGTAGAATGGATGGGTTGGTTTGATTGATCAAAGTCGTTGGTTGGATGGGATTAGGATGTTGTTAATGACTTGTCTATTGAGCATAGTAATCGAAAATGTAGGCTGGAACGTAGCCCTCCACGATCTTCCTTGGAGTGTGACTGTATTTACAAAAGTCCTCAAGGAAGCGAAGCAGTCCAATGACCTCCTCTGGATAATCCTCATCCTTGTTATCCTTTGGACTGTAGTGAAAGGGGTTACTGGTTAGATTCTCTGGCACTACTACTGATCAATGTGTTTCTACTACTTACTTTGCAAGTGCCGAATTGATTTGGCATCTAATATATTGTCCAAGGAATGAGAGGAACTTTTGTGTGTGCAGAGAGTGGAACTGCTTGAGGATGGTGATGACACCGACAATGAATGGTGTCCAATCGTAACTGTTCTTTTGCTTCTTTGATTGCATGACACAGAGCTTGGTGTTGAGTTGGAACTTGGTCACCTGTGACAGTACCACCAGGAACAACAGACATGGGAATGCCTCCAGTGGCATAGTGGTGATATAGATCTTGGTGTATGGATCATTGATACCGGCAGTGTCCAAGTACTGTGCCAAGTCAAAGAGGAGAGTGTTGTCCTCACCAGGGTATGGAGAAGTGTCGGGTCTTTGGAAATGTGCCTGAATGTCATTGATCAGTGATCCATTCATTGTCTCCAAGGCACAGTATAACATATTACTATCTATTTTACAATGGAACTGTAAAGTAGGTAAGAGTTAGAATAGTCCTGTGCAAGTAGTCCATTTGTTATGATAACATACATTAAGTTGATTTGATATCTGTCTTCTGATAAGTTGTATCTGTCCAATCTTTGTCAATACATCTAAAAATATGATTAAGTGTTAATAAACATTATCAAGAATATATATAACTTTTAAACAACTTACCAATAAAGATTGGAGATAGTCCCTTGGTCTTTTCCAGTGCATTGTTATAACGATCAACAGAGTCTGGTATGGAGGATGTTGGTCTAAGGGAATCTTCAAACTCATTGATGAAACCCTTTAGACTCTTCTCTACCAACTGACGAATCTGGTTGACAAAGACTTGTAGGTCCTTGACCATCATGAAGCAGTAAAGCTTGTCCAGACCGGTGAGACCAAAGATACCAACACTCTGTTGGAGCATGGTCCATGTGTTGATGCCAACCAACTCCTTGCCAGTGCTTGGGTCGAACCATCCAATCTGGTTGAGGTAGAGTGTGTTGCGACAGGAGGTCTGTTGGAGAAGCTCACGACCGAGACGACCAATCATGTTGACCGACTGGTCCACCGATGGGAATCTTGGGATGGGGATGGCCACCGATTGGTAGGATGATTGATAGTCAAACACCTTCTTCTTGAGGAACTGGTTGCACTCTTGCTCCACATAGTAGTTGACGATACGAGAGAACTCCTCTTGCCATATCCTAAGACCTTGAATGTTGACATAGTCCTGGATGTACTGGAATGAACGACGGAAACCATCGAGGATGTTGGACAGCTCCTTGAGACGTGGGTGCAGCTCGTCCACACCCTTCTTCTCATTCCTAAAGACTAGGGTTCGGTCCATGGCCATCGAGATTTGCAATACCAACTCCTTACGGATACCATCCTCGAGCAGTTGCTTGGGATCAACTTCGATCACTCCGACCAATGTGGTCTCCATCGCCAGGATACCCTCGGTGAACACAGAAACGGCATTGGTTGCTCTGGCCAAATCATAACGTTGATCCAACTGTGCAAAGTCTCTGAGACGCTCCTTCTCAATCTTGGTTGGCAACTCCTTGATCGAGTTGGTCTGCATGTCAATGATCTGCTTCAAGATGACAAACATACTCTTTGGAACAATCTCGAGAACCTTACGCACGTAGCCAACCAACTCGCCAGAGTAGTACTCTGACACAGAGATCAAGTCCGGACTGGCACACTGTGAGATACGCACCAGTGGGAGATCGAGGATGGACACCAACTTTAAAAAAGTGGCACGAAGCTTGAGCACACAGCCTGGGTCGTTCTTGATACCGCGTTGCATTTGCTCGACATAGTTGTTGATAATGTCCCAAGCGTAGGAAATGTCGGCGCACACAGACAGATGAACGAGCACCTCCTCTCTAATGTTGACAATCTTGATCATCTTTGTCAAAAACTGACGTGTCTCGATGAGGAACTGCTTGACCTGGATGGACGAGTCGATCTGCTGGAACTGTTCAACCTCCTCGAGAGCCATGCTCAGCTGTTGGATACGTCTGCCGGTGGACGTGTTGTCGACAAAGTCCAACGCGTTGATCTTGCCCGAGATCTCGCCGAACCACTTTTGGAGGTTCTCATTCTTCTTGACACGTGTCAAAGCCTTCTCTCCACTAAAGTACTCTGACAACTCAGTCATACTCTCTGCGGCCAGCTTCTTGTTCTCCTCCCAACGATCGGCCTTTGTGTCCAACAGTGTTTGGAAGATGTTCTTAAACACAAACTCTAGTTGAGCAGTGTTTAACAACAATTGCAATACATCATCCTGTGATCCAACTGCAATTATATCTCTAAACTTCTTTGTTGATGCGTTGGTATCTATTTTGTGTATCGATTGATTATTAGTATGTGTATACGACTGACACGACTGGCACTTTAAAACATACGTAACATTAACCAACGAATGGTTGCATTACAGGATCTTAGTGTTCCGATGATCCTTTGAATGTTGTCCATGATGTACTCCTCGGTCATTACACCTTCAACGAGGAATGCCTCAACCTGTTTGTTCAAGACAACTACATCCTTCCAATATCTCTGTTGTTGATACATGATGTTCTGTTGAGTGGTAGTATTGGCCAGAGCTGTCTTTGCTGCCTTGTATGGCTCCCAAGCCACTGACAAGTCAACAGTGAATCCCAAGAAGAATGCAATCACCCAATTGTCTGGGAAGAACTTGTCAACAATCTCTCTCATTGTTGCCTAGAGTGAAGTAATAATGTTAACCAATCAATCAATATATGTTTGAATTATTGTACAATAACTTACCATCTTGTTCTGTAAAAGGTCTGGACAAAAGTAGAGGATGATGTATAGCATACTGGCCTGGGTGGCAAGGGCTACACTACGATGCTCTGGATGTGGGAATGTGCTAGTACCGTTGTAGATGTCATCGGATTGAAGACGACCAATAACCAATGACAGAACACTCTGTGGGATTTGAACGCGAGCAAAGTACTCCTCTGGATAGTTGTTTGGTCGCTTGGCCATGCCTGGTAGGTATCCAGTGGACTTGCACAGCTTACAGACGTCATCGATAAAGGGCAGATCGACTGGGCCCTTGTTTCTCATGTAGGACACCAACATTCTCTCTCTCACTGGTCCCTCAATGAGGTTGTCCATCAATATCAACATTACACCATAAAGATAAATGGACTCTGATACCAATTGTTTGCCATCATTGTTCATCAAGATTGACTGGTTTTGTTGGAGTTGGAGATGGAGTGAGTATGAGTTTGTGTCAAAGTGTCTGTGTTACCCTGCAGGCAGGGTCACATCAACATACCTCAATAGTCAAATGAATGTAGAATCCCTTCTCGACATCGATGAGATAGTGCTCAAGGTCCTTGATGTACTTGTAGACACTCTCAAAGAGATGATAGAAACGGACCAAGATATCTATATGGTTATCTCTAAACTCTGCTTCAAGGTCAACTAGGTCCTATAATGTATGTTGTTTGTGTTAATGACATCTGAATGGATGAATGACTCATTTCAACAACATACTCTGTTATCCTCAATCTTTGCCTCAAAGTAATCTGGGTTGGCAAGGAATTTAAAGTCCATGAGGATGTCTGAGTACTTTGCACGATCGGCACGATCCTCCAACTTGAACACCGTTGGTATATGTGAGCTGAGACGTAACATCTCTGCTATGATTGCATTTCCACGTGAGACCAAACGCAACAGTGTTTGACCTGCCTGACTTCCCTCTGCTAGAAAGTCCTTCATTCTTCTTCTACTTTATATATATATAAATAACAATATAATTATATGATGATAAGAGTTCACTCTTGTGTTTGTTGTAGTAATACAGACAGACAGTACTGGGATACGAGGACTTAGATCTCAATGTCGATGTGTTTTTGCAGTAGTATCTCTCATAAAAAATGAATTATAATTAAAATCAAAAAAGAAGATTCTTTGGACAAGTGCACTGACCACCTCATTGATTCGGGAGTGACAGAGATACTGTTTGTATATGTGTGTGTACACTGAACTATTATGACCTATTACTATTGATTGCAATCAAGAATAGTAGGTCATCTTTCTTCCTCTTTTATTATAAGCAAGGTCAACTTTACATGGAATGGGGTATTGATTGGTGAWTGTTGAGATGGATGATGATGTTGTTGAGATTGAATGGGAACATTCCATTTGTTAAATTTGGAATGGTATTGGTAATGTCATGTAATGGCATGGCATGTTCAACTCCATGCATATTGGTCAAACACTTTGTACAATTTGCTGGTTTGTTGATTGATCGTTGTTGTTGATATTATGTAAGTATTGGTGGTGTATGATTATATATCATCAATTGCAAACATTAATTGGTCTAATAATGATGATGAAAAAGTATTGGTTAATATATATAGATCCCAAAGTATATACTTGATGTTTATACATACCATCTGGACAAATAAGATTTGAAGAGTTGTATCTATAATCATCTTCATCACGTTGTTGTTGTTGTTGGTAACTGGATGGTCTCTGTTGTAGTGGGTTGTCCATTGGGTAACTGTCGTCAAAGTGGTTGATTAGGAACTTCTTTGGCGATAGTCTATTGTGATTTTGATGTTGATTCTGTTGTTGTTGTTGGTTTTGTTGGTGTTGTTGCATTGCTGTCTGGTGGAGCAGGAATGATGGCACTTGGCCATTGGAATTCCTGGATTGTAATTGGAAGTTATAATTTAATAGGTATGCCATTATTATAATTATAATAATAAATATTATGGTGTTGTTGGATTATAAATAATATTAATTGATTGATTGGATTTAAGTTAGGGTAGGGTGATTATTCCGATGGTGGTGGTTATGGAATCGTTCATTAATGACTTAAGACTTTAGCAATGTCTATGATATATGTATTAATGAGATTAGTATACGTTATATATTGTTTGATTGATTGATTGATTGATCAATAAGATGAATGGATATGATTTAAGGGCTTGAACCAAAAAAACTAATATAATAATAATAATAATAATGATGATGATGAAGCGACTTGATGAATGAATATGAATGTTGACCTTTGATGTGATGGATTGTTTGTTGTTTGTTTGATTGGATGGATGGAATGATGGATTGATGGATGCACACTCCAGAATCAATCAAATTGCTGCTGCTGCTGCTGCTGATGGTAACCAAGTCGACGTATCTTTGCCCTTGGTTTTTAAAAGAGAGAGTGTGTTTGGGGGTGATGGGCGTAGTGATGGTGGTTGTGGTGGTGATTGATCGGGTTGGGTGAGTGGATACAGAGAGAGAGATAGATAGAGAGTGATAATGTTGTATATATCTGTATGATACTCAATTGTCTGTTGTGTTTCCAGCAGCAGCAGGTTGGAGCTGTTGGAAATTTCACTATTGTCTGTGTGTGTGTGTGTGTGTGTGTCTTTAATGAATGACTGCTTATGTATATGTAAGGAACAATTGGTATCATTCACGCACATACATACACACACACAAACATACATACACCTCCACACACTTTGTATACTCTCATGAATGAATGCAGTGAGAGGGTGAGTGTGAGTGAGAGGGTATGATTGGGGTGACTGGGGTATGGGACATTGAAATTTACAGCAACAGCAGCAACTAACTCTGCTTGTTAGAGGTGTTACGTGTTGCTGTTGTTGCTGTTGTTGTTGTTGTATACATGTGTTCAATTTGGATAATACGAGTGATTCAAATGACAACAAATGGAAATATTATTATTATTATTATTATGTCAATGACACACATACATATTAATTACAATACTAGTTGTTCTTCTATCTCTATGTATTATCCAGTAGTAGTGTATGTACAAAATGTTTGTGGATATTGATAGAGATGGACGGATGGATGAGTTGTTATTGTTTGTTGTTGTTGTTGTTGTTGTAAGGTCAAGATGTGTGAGTGGAGATGAATGAGTATGGAAATTTAAGCATTCAATTTCACTTGATAGATAGTTGATAGCTACCATCTATATATGGTCTGGTGGTGGTGAGTGGTGAGTGGGTAAGTGTGTGGTTGATGATGGCCAGGCACCACTGTGACCCCCCAGACTCCACAATCGAGGCACCCTCTGATGTGTGTGTGTTTGAGTAATGGTGCACAAGAGATGATGGTCCCTGGACTACACAGCAAGTAGTCCAAAGAAGGACACCTTACAAACCACTCGTGTTGATGCCAGGTTGTGTGCTTGTGCTTGTGTCTTGGACAACAAAAGAGAGAGAGGATACATGTATTTGTTTGTTGATGTAAAAGACAACGAAATTGATGGTTGGACGAGTGGATGTTTTTGGTGGTCCTGGTTGTGAGGCCTGGAATTGGCATCTCGAACTTACCTCGATGATTGTCTGGATTAAGAAGGTGATAGTATGGAAAAGGAAATATAATTAGGATACTAAAGAGAGAGAGAGAGAATGAGAAACAAGTAGATGTTTGATTGATGGATTATGAAATTTCAAAATGGAACGAAGGTATTCTCCATGACCAGCTGTACTCTAATGCATCAGGTATCCGTAAAACAAACACAAACCACAAACACCCTTAGGAATGTTATGATAATTAACAGGGAGGATGCTGGAGATTACTGATGTTGATATTTATGTCATTACCTTTTGTGTCGAGGGTTATAAACGTGGTGTCCTTGCAGAGACTCTCTCTTAATTCCTGTGCTCTCTCTATTCCTTCCAATGTGTGTATTTGTATGTATTATTATTGTTGTTGTTGATTGTGTGTGTTGTTGGGAATTTAAACTACTGAGGATGACGCTTGGGCCGTCAATATGTCATGTGAAAGGTGAAGTTAAGGTTGGTGTCACCAATCGACCAAGGTCCAATGATGATAAACTTGATTGGTGGTGTGTTTTGGTGTGTGTGTATGTTGAAGGGGTGGGGCTGGGAACTGGGTGAGTATTGATTGATTGAATGAATGATAATGTCCAGGATGGGCTAATAAAACAAAGTGCACAAGTATCGGGCCGCCTTTTGATCTGGTGCGTGGTGATCATGAGTTGTACCTCACTGCATCGACCTTGACTGATTGATTGATTGGAATGAACACACAGGTGTCATCGGGTCGTTTGGCGGATGATGGGACCAGTGGAGCCATTTCACTATGGTGATTCAGAGAGATTTATGCGACGGAAACGCATTCCTTACACTATTACTCGACCAATGAGTGAGTGAGTGAGTGAAGAGAGGTGAAGAGTGTCTCCACCAAATCAATACTTGTACTTGGTGGAGAAGTCCTTGGGCGATATTACCAAACCCTTGCCTGTGTGAGGTTGATCAGTAAGTTAGTTAGTTATAATGTTCAGAATCCCATTGGTTGTTCATGTAATATGTTGTTTGATTGTTCATCATACCTTTACGTGCACCTCTGTAAACAGTTTCAATGACATCGATCATATCTTGTTTGTCTGTAAGTGGCCAGTTAACTTTGAATGATTGAAGATAGATACATATATGTATTAGTAATATGATCCTTCATTGTATACTATTGATTGTTTGATTGATTTGAAGATAGATAGATACATACTCTTATTATTGTTACCAGTGCCAAGATCAATCATAATGTGCTTGTTTCTATAGAAGAACATTGTGGTGCAGGGATCATAGAGCTCGTACATCTTGTTAAAGTCAGGCACCTCTGTGATGTCCACCACATAGATAGCGGCAAAGTTCTTGACCTTCTCTGCCACGGCAAACAGGATCTCATCCTGTTTGATACAATCTGGATCCCAATCGTGACCGAATCTAATCACTACGACTCTTTCCTCCTCTGTAACGATCGACTGGTCTACAGCCCATCCACTCTTCAAATGTGGCAACAAGAATGACATTTATGTTTGCTATAGTTATCTGTTATCTCTGTTATCTGTTTATATGTTGTGTTCAAGGGTTGCTGAACTTTGTTTGGATTCAAGGGTCGTGTTTTCGAGTGTTGTTCAAGTAGTTGGCGCCATTTTGGAATTATCATCAATACTCAAAGTCATTTCAAAGTGATAGAGATAATAGAGACAGATAGATAGATAGGATGTCTGTGGAGAGGGAAGGACCAGAGATTCAATCAGAAGTTGGATTGGATACGACTAAAAAGAGGTCATTATCTCATTCTACAGAACATAAAGATGTGGATAATGTTGGAGACAACGACTCATTGGTGGCCAAAAGATTAAGACCTGAACAAGATGAGGAGGAGGAAGTGCACGATCAAGAACAGGAGGAGCAGGAACAACAGGAGGAGGAACAAGATGAGGTCATTTTATACATACCATATCATTGTAACTACTGTCAGAAGGATATCAGTCAGGTGACAAGGATAAAGTGCTCGATATGTGATGACTTTGACCTGTGTCTAGAGTGCTTCAGTGTTGGTGTAGAGTTGCCACCACATAGGAATGATCACGACTATCATGTCGTTGATAATATGCGATTCCCAATGTTCTCAGAGGACTGGGGTGTGGACGAGGAGTTGTTGTTGCTCGACGCCATCGAAAAGTACAGCATGAGCAGTTGGATCGAGATCAGCGATATGATCGGTACGAATAAGTCACACATGGAGTGTAGGATACACTACTTCACCTACTATCTGGACACTATAACATCACCAATACCTGTATGTAGTACTACCAGTACCGACTCCATTCAATGTTGGTCACCAGCTAACATAACCACACGCAGGATACATCCAAAGTGTTAACAACCAGTGACAATGTGTTGACCTCAAAGGCATTACCTTCTAATAAGCCAGCCCTGGAGTATTACATATACAAGGCAGAGAAGCGTCTGAATGTGTTGGAGACACCTCCACCCGAAGAGGAGGATATCGCCGATGATGATGATGTTCCTGTCACAGTCTTGGATCATGATGTGAGATAATATGGTTGAGTAACACCAAGATATATATATCCTGGATAACATCCTCGAGTGGCCCATAGGCCACGTCAATTAAGATAACAGCTAGCTGTGCTCGAGTTCAGTTTAGGAATTGTTGAAAGGATGGCGAACCGTTCGCCTCTGCGACAGGCCAAGGTACAGTTTTCCTGACCCGACATGTCACAGTCTCCCATCCATGATGCATCATCAGCATCATGTGTCCGTCGACAAGGAGTTCCATAATCAACTGTGTGTATTGAATACAATAAATATGATGTAGAAGTGTTGATTGACCATGACCGACTAGAGTCGCTGAGAGCTTAGAGAGAAGTACTTGGTAAAGTCTGCGTATTGACTCTCTGAAGGCTTCGAGTATGGTTCGTTAAATGATGTCGAATGCATATTGGCCAGTGACTGCTGTTGTCCTTGATCATATTGTTGTTGTTGTGGATCTTGAGAGTATTCGCTTGGATATGAGTGTGAATGCTGAAGTGTTCCATTTGAGAGTGGTCTGGCAGGTGGTGGAGGAGGTTGTTGGTATGTTGGTTGTTGTTGTTGTTGTTGTTGTGGATGCTGTGGATAATATTGTTGTTGTTGTCCATGTTGCTGTTGTTGTTGTGGCTGTTGTTGATAATATGATGGCCCAAAGACACCATTGTATGCAAAATGTGATGCCATTGGCTGTTGTGGCTGAGCCATATGATGTGTCTGCACTGGTGCAGGGTTCTTGTACTGTGTCTGACCATGATGGATGTATGGCTGTGGAGGTGGTGGCTGACCGTATGTCATTGGTGGATTGGCACCGTTTGGAGCAGAAACAGGGTTGAATGGATAGATGATGTTACTACCATTCTTGGCGTATTGTGGAGCGGGTGGTGACTGGTCGACCACTGGCACAAAGTATGATGGACGTGTCGGCGTTGTTGTCTTTTCAATGACGTTGTTTATGGTTGTGGTTGAGGGCATTGGTGTGATCACTGGTCGTTGTGATCTACCTGTTGCCTCCTTAAGTGCAGACACCCACTCTGACGACTCTTGTGCCGTCTGACCCGACAGATAGATAGTCTTTGTATCTTTAGTAGTGATTGACATTGCAAACTTGATGATGCCACTATGCTCCACAGCTGCATCTGTCAAGTCTAATGAATTGTCTGGTACTGCTCCTTTTGATCCCTTTGATAATAACAATATCATCTAAGTTAGTATGATTGAGTAGTAGTGATTCACAGATCATATGATTGAAACACATACAGGTTTCCTCTTGTACCTCAACAAGAGGTTTGCTTGTATCATATAGTATCGTTTGACCCAATTGGAAGCAACCTTACTACCCTGTTTAAAGAGGTATCCTTCTTTTGTTACACTCATTGTTGTTGTTGAGTTGTGTTGTTATATGTTTGTGTTGTTATTATTATTTATAGGCAGACAGGTAAACATTGATCGACAATGTGTGAGTGAATGAATGAAAAGCTTTCGTTGGAATGGAATCAATCAATGTCAATCACTCACACTTTCCCCCACCTGCCTGTTTAAGAAGAGTTGGGTATTAGTTGGAGACACAAAGTTTGATACATATATTAAGTAGGTCCTATCCTATTATCTATTCTTGGCTTTATCTAATATTCAATTGATTGGTGTTGTTTGGATTAGATTGTTAGAAGTCTAACAATAAATTGTACTATTAAATTATAATATATCTAAAGATTAAACTATAGTGATAATAATACTCCTTCTATTCTTAATATTGTGATTTATCAATAATATAACTGGAAGTTGTGATGACATAATGATTAATGTAGTTCGGCCTCATTTATTTTGATTTATTTAAATTATTTTTGAAAGAACTACACAAACACACAACATGTTGATCAAAGTTGTAAGAAAACAACGACCAAAGAGTTTTCAGACAGTGACAGACATAGGATATAGGACAATATAAAGAAGAAGAAGAAGATGGATAACGCAGCAGCAGCATCAACAAACAAGAAGAGATCATTCATGACAACTATTCGTTCGATGTTTCACTTGCCCAGCTCGGTCAAGTCAAAGATTGTAGTGGCAGCCAACGTCACCTTCTTCTCATTGCGTTGGGTGATGAACGCAGCATGGATAGCCACCACTCTTGCCATTCTAGTCATTGCACCATTGTCAAGATGTATCGAGTACGAGCGTGCTGTTCGTCGTATCGACAGGAAGAATGCTGGTCGTGCTGGTCCAGGTCAGACTGCACCAAACAACAGTAACATTGCCAACGCACTTCCACAAGGACTATAATCGTATCAATTATTATATTATATATTATACATAGCCAGTATTCACTTTCGACGTTGCATTACCATCATTATATCTATCAATCAAACAATCAGTCAGTCATTCAGTCATTCAGTCAGTGGTCATGCTCTGCATCTATCAATCCATCGCTCACTTATATATAAGTGTGAGGGAGTTACAATGACTCCCAATGAGCAGCATCAGCCAAATGACAAAGTTACTGCACAGACATCAATCTATTCAATCAATCAAACAATCGATTTCGCTTTGAAAGCTTGCAATCAAGGGTATTGAATGCCACAACACCTTCAAGCCTCAGACACCTACATCCTCACCTTCACCAACACGCACATAAACACAACAACATTAATAAATGGAGCATTCACTCCACTTGTATAAGATCAATCTTGTCAGTTGCCTGCGACTGCCCTACTACTCCTCACTCATTCATACTTCAGGGATGTGGCGAGTGAAATTGATTCAAATCAAAATTCAATGGAGACGAACTCCTCGGTCGGTTTTTTCTCACTCTCTCTTAAGTTTAGGGTTGCACCAACAATCAAAACATCATTGACTCAATATCAACAACAGATAATTATTATATATAAACATATACATTGTACATAAGATGGGAAGATACAGTGGATTCGGAGGACAGCATAATAAGAATAAGCAGTATAAGAAGGCTAGAAAGACTGCAAGAAGAGGAAAAGGTATTTGTCACAAAGTAGACGACGATTATTAGAATGAATATGTAATGACTAGATAACTAATCATACATATATACATAGACTTGGATCAAGTATGGAATGATATACAACCAGACAAAATAGAAGCGGCATCAAAGCACGAGATTGACCCAGAGTTGCCAGGACTGGGACAATTCTATTGTGTTCAATGTGCCAAGTACTTTGTTGGTCAGACTGATCTGGATACACATGTCAAGACCAAGAAGCATAAGAGAAGAATTAGAGATTTGAAGGTTAAGCCATACACTGTTGAGGACAGTCAGTTGCCAATTGACAATGGAAAGAAATTGAGAAACAACACACCTGCCGCTGTTGCAGCAGCATCATTAGATTCATCCTCAGATGAAAGAACAATTGGAGAAATGATGGAGGCGTCAACATCTTCTGGACCAATAACATCATAGTCATGTATTTGATTGATTAAGATCTCTCTTTGTTTATTATTAGTATTACTTGTTGTTTGTTTGAACAAACACAACAGGTTGAGGACTCGTCGACTTGGAGATGGAAAGAGAGCATCTTTTTAGAACTTCCAGAGTTGGTCAAAGCCATCACGGAAGGGCATGATAAGTTGTTGGACGGGCTGGTACTCCATTGGAACGGTGGCGGATGGTTTCTTCTTGGTGGCCATCTCAAACATCATCTGATAGGTGTAGGCAGTGTACTCGTCACAGTTGAGCACACCCTTGAGACCACCGTCAAACAGTGTGGCCATCTTTCTGACGTCCGGATGATAGTGATTGCGCAGTACCTCAATCTCCCACAGTGAGCTCTTTACAGCATTGCACTTGGCAGGGTCCTCCTCGAATGGCAGGTACAAGTCCTCACCATAGGACTTCTTGACCTTTTGTTGCTCTGATTGAATCAAAAGTCCACTGATTGGTTCTGTTGTTGTGGTGAGATGTTAGAGTCTGATTCCAGTCTGGTACGTAGGGATACATACTCTTTGGATTGACAGCAGTGTTCACTGGTCTATTGATTAGGGAGTGACAGTTTGGATGACGTTGCAACAGAGAAAAGATCAGTGGTAGAATGATCAGACTACCAAAGGGTGGAGTGACCATACATAGATAGGCAGATCTCTTGAGGAATGCTGCCACCAAGTAGTTTGGCAAGTGAGTGGAGCTCAAGAACAGCTCTGCCAACTTGAAGAATCTAACTCTATACTTGGCATAGATGATACCAGGTTGGAATAGAGAGTACAATCTCTTGTAAAAGTCTGGGAACTCACTGTTATATATATTGGTTAGTTCATTCGTTCATTCGTCCATAAAGTGGAAGTACTTACAGGTTATACTTATGTATCAGGATGAACAGTCCATTCAATGATAATATACTACTAATGCCACCAAGGTCGAATGACTTTGAGAAGAAGTCCATCAATATTCTTGGATCCAGGAGATGTGGCATCACCTGATCTGGAAGTCCAAGTAATACCTATGATTGATTGATTGATGGATTGAATGGAGTGAGTGATTCAATGTCCATTCCATCTCATATACTATATACTAGTACTACTTACATGCTTGTAGATTGAATCTGGCAATGGGAGTGAGAGGAACTCTACCCAAAGCCTACCAAAGCAACCTTTGTAGGTGGCGTTGGTAGTGAGCTTCACCCAGTAGACGCTCATCTGTTTGTACTCTTTGGTGTCGGGTGTCTTTACATCCTTTTGTTGCTTGTTCTTCTTTCTTAGGGTCTTGACGTCGTGAATCATCGATGCCACTGGCTCACCAACGAGGAATTTCCATGCGTCTGGCACTTCCTCCATCACCTCGAATAGAACTAACATATCAAAGACGTTCTCGACAAAGCGTCTCACTGTGATGGCTGCATCGCCCTGATTCTCGTAGTGCTCCAGAATGGACTTGTCGACGCCACGCTCGAGCATCGCGCGGATCATGCCGTGCAGGGTGGACATGATCTCATGTTGAACGTCGTGGTATGTTGTAAGGTATCGCTGTTGGAGGTGGTCTGTGAGCAGGGTGTTCAGATGGGCGTTGATCAGCAGTGGCTCCAGTATGTTGAGCTTGATGAAGCGATCGTTCAACTCTGTGTAGTAGTTTGTGCTGACAGAGTCTGCGGTGGTTGGGTCGGACTCGCGACTGGCCTTGGCACGACATGTTCCAAGCATCTTTGACTCGACGGCCAACATTGCAAACAGACTGTTTAGTGTTGGCACCTGAATGGATGCATCGTGATGTCTAATCAAACGTCTGAGCAGCTTCAAGTATGATTGATATATTGAAAAGAGCCATTGAGCATAGACCTTGAATGCATCGGATTTATCAGACTTTTTCTCCTTCTTTTGTTGTTGTTGTTGTTGTTGCTGTTGTTGTTGTTGTTGTTGGAATGCCAGACATAGTGTCTCATTTGAAGCATCGAGTCTCTGTGTGAATATCCTCTCCAATGACTTTATAGTTTGGAATACTACTTCCAAGCTCTCTTCATTGGCCTCCTATGTATCACGTCGTGTCAGTGTTATGTTAGAAGTGAATGAATAAATGAGTGAACGATTGAGGAGTACACATACATCATTACATATTGATATGATATCAACAATCTTGTTTGTATTCTCTAATGATTGCAATACATCCTTCTCCAATTGTTGAATTTGATCGACTGGATCCAACTTGATACTCTTTGTCTGTACCTCTACGTCATCAACCTGATCCTCATCGTCAACAACTTCTTCAACAAACTTTCTCTTCCTATCAAATGTTGATTCCTTCTTCTTTTTCTTCTTTATATCTTGTACCATATCTCTCTATATATATTATATCTCTATCTGTCTTTCAATCTTGAACAACATTGAATTCATTCATTCATTTACAAGACGATTGGTTGAGTGAGGAAGAAAACGAACGAATGTGCAAAATTGATCAAAATTTGATGTATTTTAATTTTGTATGACTGAGGACCTTTTGTGAGATTGGTCAACACTCTAGACAGAGATGGCACCCTTTCTAAAGTCAGTCCTTCCAATGATACAGTTGATTAGGACTGGTAGTTTCTCCTTGTCCATTGTTTCCTTGGCTGCTACCAATGCCTCCTGGAGCTCTGGCATCGTAGTAACCTTGTGTCCATCACCTCCAAATGCCTTGACCACCTGATCATAGTTTGTATATGCAAGATTACATGCAACCTCACCTATGAGTTTGATTGTTAGTAATGGACATTCTCTCAATCAATCACGATCAATAAAATAACTTACTGTGAAGTGAATCAACTTGTTCACGCATGATTTGCATCCAACAGGCATCATTACCAACTAGGGCACCAATGGCAATCTTGTGACGAACGAATGTGTCATACTCTGGAATACTGTATCCACAGGCACCATCACCAAAGATGATCCAGACATCATAGTCTGGACGACAGAGCTTGGCACCGAGGGCAAAGCCAGCACCACAGCCAAGTGTTCCAAATGCACCTGGATCCAACCAGCACAATGGTCCACGAGGACGCACAATGTACGCTGCCGATCCCACAAAGTCACCGCCATCAGCAACCATTACTGTGTTTTGTGGCAAGAACTGATCAAAGTGCTCCAGCACGGTGAGAGGGTTGAGGAAGCCTGGCTTGTCGTCTGGTGATGGCTCAGCCTTCTTGTTGATCTCTTGGGCTCTTGCAATGTCCTTCTTGGAGAGATCATCGCACCATTGTCTCCATTGTTGCTTGTAGGGGGCCATCTCCTCGGCCAGCTCCACGAGGAATGTGGCGGGGTCGGCCAAGTAGCCGTAGGTTGGTGAGCGGTTTTTGTACAGATCGCTCTTGTCCCTGTTGACTGCGACCACTGTGGCCTTGGCAGAGATCGACTTGCCATAGCCTAGACGGAAGTCGCAGACCGCACCAGCCAGGATGACCAGATCGGCCTTGTAGAGGGCCTCACGCCTGCAGTGACGGAATAGGTTGGGGTGGGCAGCACCCATAAGTCCACGAGCCATGTTTGATGTGAAGACGGGTACGTTCAGTCCCTGTACTGCCTCTTGGAGTTGTGTTGGTGTGATGCTACCGTTGGCACCGAGCAACATTGCTTGGGCGCCAAGAATGAGCACTGGTGACTTGGCAGCACGCAGCAACTTGACGGTCTTCTTGATGGCTGAGCTGGATGGGAGGGCCAGTGGAACAAAGGCGGGCTTGTGCAAGACAATGTCAGTGTCCAGACAGTTGAATATCTTGTTGAGATGGTAGGTCATGTAGGCGTTGATAATCTTGTTGGCCAGAGTCGTGTTGTCCGACTTGGACTTTAGGTACCAGCCGGTGGTGATTGGCTGTGGGTACAGTGTGTCGATGGGGAACTCGATAAAGACGGGACCTGGCGTGCCAGACTGTGCAATGACGAAAGCCTTCTCGAGTGTTGGGACGATCTCCTCAACTCGGCTAATGTGGTACATCCACTTGCAGTGTGGCGCCAGCAGTGCGAACTGGTCAATGTCCTGGAGTGAACCCTTGCCCTTGAGCAGGTCACTAGTGGCACCTCCAAACAGTATGAGTGGACTCTGTGCCATCTGAGCATTCTTGACAGCGGTGATGGTGTTGGTCAGACCGGGACCAGCTGTGACGGCCGCAACGCCTGGCACGCCAGAGATACGAGACACGGCGTCGGCGGCAAAGACAGCGGTGACCTCGTGTCGGACATCAATCACACGGATGCCCTCCTTGTCACAGCTGATCAAGATTGGTGAGATATGACCACCAATCAATGTGAAGATGAACTTGACTCCGTGGTTGACCAACACTTTTGCGACCAAGTCACCACCGGATGACTTCTCATCGAATCTAAACACTGAAGAGTGTTCGCCAGGTGTGTATCTATTGCGTACGTATGATACCAACATTCCTGCAGCCAGTGCTGTAGCACCAGCAGTAGCTGCCAATGTAATTACTTTACTATTATCCATTTATGTATGTATGTAATAATAATTAATATGTATCTTTTGGAATTGAATGTTTGTTAGCAAATGAAGATGATCAATGTGGGTCCACACCATGAAGGGGCAAGGACCACCCACCCTGCAAATGGTACATTGAACATTGACCAAAACGAGATAAATATCTAATATCAAACAATTAATTATAATATATTTATTGGATATTGACGAGACGATGACGATGACGTTTGGTTATGACATTGCTGTTACTGACACATGTCATTTTAAGCATTGTAGGATGAGCTGTGAGTGTTACCTCCACGACCAGTCCAGTTGGTGTGGAAGAACTCTCCACGCTTGCCGTTGACCTTCTCGTAGGTGTGAGCACCAAAGTAGTCTCTCTGGGCCTGGATGAGGTTGGCTGGGAGGGTGGCACAACGGTAGCCATCATAGTAGGAGAGGGCAGTTGTGAAGGCTGGCGATGGGATACCAGTGAGGATGGAGGCAGCAGTCACTTGACGCCAGCCCTGCTCGGCGGCTCCGATCTTCTCGGTGAACCACTGGTCAGTGAGCAGGTTGTCCAGGGTTGGGTTGCGCTCAAAGGCATCCTTGATGCGACCCAAGAATGTGGAACGGATGATGCAACCTCCACGCCACAACAGAGCAATGTTACCGTACTGCAACTTCCAGTTGTACTCCTTGGCGGCAGCGTGCATCATGGTGAAACCCTGAGCGTACGAGACGAGCTTGGAGGCAAAGAGGGCCTGTCTGACGTACTCGACAAACTGGGCCTTGTCTCCCTTGAATGTCTTGTGGGCATCGGCGGCAACTGGGCCTGGGAGGATCTTTGAGGCAGCAACACGCTGATCCTTCAAAGAGGACAGACAACGGGCAAACACGGCCTCACCAATGAGAGTGACTGGGATACCAAGGTCAAGTGCGTTGATGGCAGTCCACTTTCCGGTTCCCTTCTGGCCGGCACTGTCCAGAATGGTGTCGACGACGTAGGCACCAGCGTCGTCCTTCTTGCCAAAGATGTCAGAGGAGATCTCAATCAGGTATGAGTCGAGATCGCCCTTGTTCCACTCGATAAAGGTGGACTGGATCTCCTGGTTGGACATGCCAATGTAGTGCTTGAGGATGAAGTAGGCCTCACTGATGAGCTGCATGTCACCATACTCGATTCCGTTGTGGACCATCTTGACGTAGTGACCAGCACCTCCATCTCCGACCCAATCACAGCATGGTTGACCACCATCAACCTTGGCGGCAATGCTTTGAAGGATTGGCTTGACAGCCTCCCATGCCTTTTAAAGTATATGTGATGATGATGTGTCAGACATGTATCGATATCACATGAATAAGGGTGACATAGACATAGACATACCTTTGGGTTACCACCTGGCATGATGGATGGACCAGTGAGGGCACCCTCCTCACCACCAGAGACACCAGTGCCAATGAAGTAGAGGTCCTTGGCGGTGAGCTCCTTGACACGACGGTCAGTGTCAGTGTAGAGTGAGTTACCACCATCGATGATGATGTCACCCTTGCTGAGGAGTGGCACCAAGAGGTTGATAAAGTGATCGACGACCTCACCAGCCTTGACCATCAGCATGACACGACGTGGAGTCTTGAGGTTCTTGACCAAATCCTCCATAGAGTGACAGCCGACAAACTTCTTTCCCTTTCCACGGCCACTCATAAACTCGTCGACCTTTGAAGTAGTTCTGTTGTAGACAGCGCAGGTGAAACCTCTGCTCTCCATGTTGAGCACGAGGTTCTCACCCATGACAGCAAGACCAATAAGACCGATATCAGCAGACATTTTGTTGTTGTTGTTGTTTAAGGTTGTAGATATTTATATTAATTATATATATGTATATATATATATGATTATTATTAGATGATTGTTGTTCACAATAAGTCAAGTTGAAGACAACAAGTGAGTGAGAGTGAATGGACAGAGAGTGTGTGTGTGTGTGACTCGGGAACGAGGTGTGAGATGTGAACATGCAAGTGTGTGTAGTCTCCCGAATCATACCAATACCCCCAAATTAAACATTCTCACTGATCTCGAGGTTCAATATTGACCATTTGGGGTGCTAATATCCGTGTTGGAATGGACGTCGAGAGCAAATAGTTTTGGAATCAGAACTAAGTTACATTCATTATCTGAGCAAACACCAAATGGAAGGTAGAGTAATTATCTCATTGTCCCCCAGCTATATTTATCTTGGCCCGCCCATAAGTTGGACGGAACACATTTGGTTGCGGGACTCGAATCTCATTGTCTCTTGTCACGACCTTCTACTAACACATAACCCATCATAATGATTAGATGAGTATATTGCAAGCTTCCAGTTCAATGGCAGCAACAGTAGTAACAGTAGTTCATCATACTTTATTCAAAGTAGATGGTCAAAGGAAGATCATTCCTTTGAGTTGCTATTGACGAATGCAAAGGATGTTTGGATATCGAATGGTACGCTACTATCTTTGAGACAATGACAATGAGAATGACAATGAGGTTAACATTACTCCTTCATCCATGATCATCAGTACCATTGAAACATATCGAGACTGTATTGAAACCAAATGGAATGTCCACAGAGCAGTATGTTGGGTTGGTTAGATCTGCACTCATAAGTCAGGACCACTCTGGAGAGCGATTCACCTATCGTCTGAGACAATCAAAGTCATTGAATGTTGAGTTGACCATCTATATAAAGTTACAACCTTCAGAGATATCGGTATTGTATCACTGTAACTATGATGACATTATAACAACAACTAACTATGTTTTCCTTTAGATAAAGACATCGTTTGTATTTGTAAAGAGTAATGACTCTCAATCATCATTACGTAACTACTTTGAGTGGCTGATCAACAAGTGTGATGCATTGGGCGAACAGAACAAGCAGCTGCGGTCACAGAATGACAAGTTACAACAACAATTCAACAAGTCTGTCAGTATGATTGAGTTGCTGACCAAGGAGAAACACGATCTCGAGAAGGATCTCTATGGCAAGTTCATCATCATTTTGAATGAGAAGAAGAAGAAGATCAGAGAGTTGAAACAACAGATTCAACAACAGAACACAGAGATGAAGTCCATGCGATATGAGGCAGCATCTGCGGCAAACAATCCATCGACGCCATCGCCCAACAGCAAAAGTAGTGCTCGGAAGAGAAAGAAGAAACAACAACAACAAGATATTGATAGTGACAAGGAGCAATCAAACAACAACAGTGATGACAGCTTTGATCTGTCACTGTCATTGGGAATGGCCGCCAATCCAACACCAGCATTGGATCTTTTGAGCAATGATGACAATGATTCATTCAAGGTTCCAAGTGTCATACGCAAGAGATATAAGCATGATACCGCCACCACCACTGTAGATACTACAACAACAACAACAACAACAACAACCAGCACAGCCAAGACATCAACTTCATCCACATCGATACCATCATCTTCTCTATACTCCTCAGCGACCAAACCTCCACCACCAAAGTCACCAAGTAAACCGAACCATCTCAGCAGGACATCCACAACAACCAAACTACCAAAGCAATCAACAACCAAACCGAAACAACAACAATTGAAAGTGTCTGGTGGACATGGAGACAAGGCCATATCAGCATCAGAGCTACTTGATGAGATATTCGAATGATGACTGACTCAGTCCATCACATTAAAGTTGACAGATGGGTGGGTAGATCAATGACTAAATTGACAATTGACTACTGCCATGATTGTTTGTGATATATAATAATAGACGTCATTTATTATACAGGATATCATCTACTATGATTGGCAATGACATTGCGAACGTGGGAGGTGCATGAGCTGTGTTACTTCGAGCGAGACATAACTACTCCTGTGACTGATACGAACGGGGATAGTAGTTTGGTCAATGAGTGAGAGAGAGTGATAGTGATGTTGATGAGTTGTTGAGGAATGACAGCTGCGACGCAGCAGTTGAGGGGGACTGACGAGGTTGACCGTCGATCAAGTGTTGTTCGATCGATTGGTGAAATGATTGAGTTGTTTGCTTGATTGTTTAATCGCTTGATCCTTTGTTTTGTTGTTGTTGTTGTTGTTGTCTAGAGGGTTTCGATATCTGTATAATGATTGATAATGTTAGTTAGTACTGAGTGAGAGTTGAGAAGAGAGATTGTGTAAACACTTACCAATTGCATCATCAGCAACGAACTCGAATGGAATATCACCGTCAGCCTCATCAAAGGTGTCGGCTTCGTTGATCTTGGCAGTCTCTGGAAGCTCGCCCAGAGTCTTCAAACTACGAGCCTCATCGATGGTGTAACGCATGATGACGTCGGCCTTGTCGTCCTGATAATCACGCAGCTGCAGCAGGATGATGTCACCAGAGTTGATCCACTCCTTCTTTCTTAGACGACCACTGATGTGACCGAGACGCTTGGTGCCATCGAAACATTGTGCTTCCAGACGACCGTTGCCGAGCATTCTAATGACCTGAGCGTACTCTTGACCATCCTCCTTGAACTGCAACTCTCTCTTCTGCTCGTTCTCGTTCTTTCCTCTTCTTCTGTTCTTTCCTCCTTTTCCCTTATTCTTAGGCATTTTGTATTTATCTCTTTATATATATATGTAATAAATTAATATTAACTATAATAGAACCAAGTTTGTTTATGTAGGTAAATATGTGAGAAGAGTACACGAAGAGTTGAACACACCTCTCCTCTGTCTCACACAAGTTGAAAGGGAGGTAAATTCTAAAATAAATCAAATCAAACCAAACGAAATAGGATGGTGGGGGTTGTTTGAACGTTACTGTGGTTGTTGTTCGCACTCTGATCAGGAGAAGTACAGTGTGTTGAGTGTGTGGTCAACAATGCCAACAACAACAAGTATTTAATTGCCACTCGCTAGAACGCTAAGTCTTTGTCCTATCTCATCCTCCTCCTTCTTCTACTACTGAGCCAATATTGGATTGGATTGGATTGGATTGTGATTGATTTGATTGTGTGTACAGATGTATGACGACAGTGGAGTAGGTGGAGGAAGAGGAGCCTATGCTAGTATGCTCGGTGGTGTATTATTCGTCCTTCTTTGATGTAGTACCAAATGTTCGTAGTTTAATTCCACCAGATGATTGATTGCTGCTGTTCCTGTCACTTCTTCTATCATCTGTAAACCATAAATTATGTTAGTGGAATGATCATGACATGGCATGGTTACCAACAATTCCTCGATCACAAACATACCCAAAACAAAGGTGTCATACTCGTCGTCCATATCATTGGTCTGGACAGTGTTCCTCCTGGTGACTGATTCATTTGTTATTGCTTGATTTTCATCCTCCTCTGAGGTATTGACAGGGCTGTTTTGGATATCGTATGTTGTTAGCACTAGTTATTGATTGATAGATATTGGACCTGATCAGAGTCGAAAGTGATTCATACTTATACTTGTTATTGTCTTCTTTCTTTGTGAAGTAATCTGACAGTTCTCCAAACTTGGTCTTGACAGCTGATTCATTACGTCAACATACAACATGTCAGTAACAATAGTTAATGGATGAATACTGTATACCATACATACCTTCACCCAATTGATTAAACTTAACCTTGATCTCTTTTAGATTCAAATCCTCTTCCAACATTGTCATTACATCTTTGTCATCCTCTTCCTCCTCCTCCACATTCTGTCTTGGTAATGCAGCAGGTCTTATCCTCTGTGGTGGAGCTCTGTCGCTAGCATGTCCAACTTGATATAATTCTGGTGGCAAGTAGTCACGGCTGTTATTGGCCGTGTTTGTTGTATCGTTTCTAAACAGCTCATTCTGCATCATCCTAGCCAACATCTCATCCTGCTCCATCTGTGCCATCCTCTATTATAATATCAATAGTAAGCAACTTGTGTACATTCATGATGATGATGTAGACGACATACAAAGTCCGAGTCGGTGGTGTTCTGTTGATTGATAGGAGTCTCTCCACTCATTTCCAACAGCATATCTATTGTCTTCTCCATGTGACCCTTGTTCAATTGTAGTATCTCTGCAATGATATCTCTGTCGAATGTAGAGAACATTCCCTGTAGCGATGTCAACGCTTCTTGATATGGTACACTCATTGTTATTTGTATCTATTATATATATGTATAAATGTATGTTATTTGTTTGAATAGAAATGAGGTGTTCGGATTGTCACCCAATCAACATTGAATCTAGTTTTTGAACTCAAACACTTTGGAATACACTTTTATTCTTCTTCGGAAGTCTCGAGTTGGTGGGATAGGGTAATGATGTACAAGGTTATATCTCTGACCTGATATTATATCGTCCAACTTAATAATCTTCAATACCAAAAAGAATATATTAAGTCCATCTAACTATGGGCTGGATTTAATAGATTGTTGACAAATTAATAAATAAAAAAATTACATATCTCAATCAACAAACAAAAACGAACGAGTCTTATTCTTATTATATATCTACCAACACAACTACAATTACAACAATACCAACAACAATGGGAAAGGATAGCAAGAGGAAAAAGGTAGAGTCAGAGGATGATGAAGAGGTTAAGGATACAGTTGTGCCAAAGAAGGATAAGACAAGCAAGAAGATGAAGAAACAAAGTGATGATGATGATAGTGATTCAGAATCAAAGAACAATCTAAAGAAGAAGAGCAGTAGTAAACAACCAGATAGTGAGGATGATAATGATAAGGACGTCAAGAGAAAGAAGAAGAGTATGAAGAAAGATAAGAATGACGATAAGGACATGAATAAGAAAGTCAAGAAGGTGAAAAAGGACAACGAGGATCAAGATCAGGAGGAGGACAAGAAGAAAAAGAAGAACAAGGTGGAGGAGGAGGTGAAGGATAAGAGTGACGGTGCCACTCGCTCGAATAAGGAGAGCAAGAATGACGAGGATGATAAGAAGAAGAAGAAGGAGAAGAAGAGAAAAGATGACAAAGAGGATGATGAGAAAGAACATAATGATGATGATGATGCTCATGCTGATAGAGATGAGGACAACAAAAAGAAGAAGAGAAAGAGACCAAAGAGAGGTCACAGCAGTTATGAGGATCAGCCAAACATTTATATGACGTCAAACACAGAGACATCAAAGCAACAGCAGCAGTTCAGTATCGATGTGGATCGACTGATACAACAGAAGCCATGGCTATCAATGATCAGGGACTTTAGCAAGGTCATCTGGTCAGAGGACGATGGTGAACCAAACATTGTCGTTGTGCACTCTGCCGAGGAGTGTTGTCGCATCGTCACATTGCTTCCCTCGATCTTCCACCAGGAGCAGGGCAGCAGTGCCAAGTCCGTCGTGACCTTTGGCAAGAGTAGTAAGCAGGCCAGCGTCCCTTCGACATGCGTCGTTGGCTTTGATACTGAGGGTTCGGATATGCCCTACAGTGTTCAGCTGTCAACACTCACGGTCGCAGCCGTGATATACATTAAGGAGATTGATCATTTGCCGCAGCCCCTTGTACAGCTTCTGGAGAACAAGTACATTTCCAAGGCTGGCGTTGGTGTCACTGCTGATTTCGACTCGCTCATTGCCTTTGGAAAGGCGCACAAGATGGTGATCAAACCAAGAGGCTCACTGGACGTCAGCTGTGTGGCAGGCTTCAATGGTGTAACGCAGAGCTATCTGTCACTGGACAACCTTGCCGTTGACCTACTAAACACAAAGAAGTACCAAAGGATGATTGGCAGTGTAACCACAAGGATGTACCACGATGAGTTCCACAAGTATGCTGCCATCGATGCTTGGCTTGGATTCAAGATTGCAATGGTCCTCCATCAATATCTCAAGAACAAACTGGCATTCTATGAGTGGACACAGGCACAACAGACTGGAAACTATCGTGTACCAATCAAAGAGAAGTCTGGCAAACAAGAACAATCAGCAGCAACGACTCCACCCGTTGTAGATTCCACTCAATCATCGTCGTCATCTACATCACAGACCCAGATCAATGTTATCAGTTACAACAAGACAAATGCCTTCAAACAGCCAGTACAATATTATGATGAGCGAGCAAGGGAGAGAGCCAATCCATACTTTGTCAAGGGTAAGGATGAAGAGAAGCAAGAAGCTGCACAGAATCACTTCTATCTCCAAAAGCTACAACATATAAAGGAAGGCCAGAGGAGGCCATTCATTTGATCAAACCTCCATCCATAAACATATCTGAATGATTGATTGATTGGTGGTACATAAATATTATATATTATGGTTTATTATTATATCTTCAGGTTAGCACTGAAGAGTGATACACGGCCTTTGGAGTGAAAGCCAAGACCAAGGTTCTCGCGTCTAAAGTTGAGTAGAGTCTTGTCGAAATCGAATATCCTGTCTTCGATGCTGCTGGGCTGCTTGGTGAGTAGCAGTGACTTGTCCAACTTGGCTTCCAGTTGCGCCAGACTACCCTCGGCCTCATTCTTGACCGTGGTGATCATCTTGTCGATTGTCTGTAGACCCTCCTCAGCCTCGAGTTTGGCGTGTGTGATGATCTTGTCGATTGATTGCAGTCCCTCCTCGGCCTCGTGTACGACTGTAGTGATTGCCTTGTCGATTGTCTGCTCCAATTCCTCAGCCTCTCGCTTCACCTTGAGGATGGCTTGCTCCATGACATTGCGTCCCTTTTGTGCGTTTGCCTTAAACTTGTCCAAACAGAATGACTCCACCTTCTTTGCCACGCCAAAGATACTGGCAGTGACGGTGGCCTCCTGCTTAAAGTGTGTCCATTCATTGTTGTTGGGGTCTGGTGTGTAGGTGCAGACCTCCTCGAGGCCCAATATATTGGAGAATGAGAGGTTCTTTGACTTGAGCACCATTGTCTGAGTCTTTGGATCGACGATGGCCTCTTCGTAGAAGAAACACTCATTGCTACCGAGTATGGGCACCAGCCATGATGGCATTGAACCCTTGCAAATCATCAGTCTGGTGCATTTCAAAACACCAGTGACTGGATCCAAGTCCTTTGTCAACATGTCAACACTGAGTACATCTGGACGATCTGGGCAAGGGTATTTTCTCCAACTCGCCAATGAAATATCATTCCAACGATGTCTGTTGTTGTTGTGTGATATAGAGATATTTGAGTTAGTAAAGTAGTAGGGGGGCAAAGAATGTTTCTCAATGTAGGAATACATACTTATAAGTATGATAGATAGTATCGAAAAGAGGCATGATGTATTAAATAAAAAAAGAGAGAGACGACGCCTAAGTATTATAGGTGTTGATACGAGAATAGAGTTTAATTGATTGAAATGATTGATTGATAGATAGTTGACGTGTTACTGCAAACTATTATTGTTTAATACTGATACTGAAGTGTAATGTTAATCACCTTATGTGCATTTGATTGCAATAGTATTATTATGTGTTTGGAATGTTTGAATAAAGTTGTGTTGTCAATGTCAATGTCAAGACCACCATCATTTTTAAAGTACCAACGTTCAATGGTGGTGATATATTCGGAAGGTCTCAATTTTAATTAAATTAATTCTTTTTTTCTCACAACCAACTTTGGTTGAACATTACTTTGAGAGTTCAACGACGTCGACGATTATGAAGATCTTCAAACATATAATATGTTACGTTATTTGATTGATGTCTCTTAAAAGAACATATGAATCAATTAAATATAAACAACAACATCAACAACTAAATGACAACAACAACCATGGAATATTGCTTACTGATAAACAATCAAATAGAGACTTGTCATTTAGAAGGACAGTAAATGTTAAGTTGCGTAGACTTGAATTGAAGAAACAGTTCATTGAAAAGTATAGACCTGCTAAGAGGATCAGATGGATACCCAGACAGTTAAGAGATCGATTTGGAAAGTCTGGTGTAATGAATCGTTGTGTGGCCATTGCCAACAATGGAAAGAGATGCAAGACAAGAGTCATTAATGTTGTTGCACCTGGTAGAGATGTCAGATTGTGTAAATATCATCAGCCAGCCAATGATCATCAGGTTAGATGTAAGGGTATCACAAAGAGACTAGAGTAGGTATTGTTATTAAGTTGTTGTGTTGTGTGTTGCTGGATTGGTCACAGACTCTAACATTTATTCTATCCATCAATAGACAATGTAAACGAGTGATACCATCAGATCATACATTCTGCAAAGCACATAGACGAGTGTATCGTAATGTTAAGAGAATCAAGATTGTTGATTGTAAAGTGACTGGCGGCCCAATTATACCATCCAACAACAACAACAACTACTACGATGACTATTATGAACCAAGTGATGTACTTGTTCTACCATTTGACAGCTTTTCAAACAACAAACAGAAACGTTTGGAGGAGTTGAGAAGGAAGAGATTGGAATCAAGCAGAAGGAATAACAACATTAACTGGAAAAAGAAAGAAAATAATGTTGGTGGCAACAATAGACAACAACAGTTAAAGAAAAGGGAGGAGAATAATAATATTTTAAAGTTAAAGAGGAAGCAAGGACAAGGAAAAGATCAACAACATCATCACCAAAAGAAGAAACAAAATATTACTACTGTTGCCACAAAGAAGAATAAGGAGTCTCCAGTAAAAGTGGATACTGCTCCAAACATTAAGACAACTAATATTTCAATCACATCAACAACGACAACGACAACGACAACGACAACGACAACGACAGCATCATCATTAGACTTTAGCACTCCACCAAATGTCCATCCAACTGCACCAACAACACCAACAATACCAAGTTTGAACAACACAGGCACATTGTTTGGAAGGGTGGCTAATCAAATGTCAGAGTTTGGATGGTCGACTGAAGATGATGATGAATGAGATGACACAAACAACAGTTTGATGACCGGTCATTGCGTCACATACCAAGAGTATAGATTGTCTGGCAATTATGTTGACAACGTTCTCAAAACCAATAAACCACCAATCAAATTCTCTTTGTTGTGTTCCAAGATTAATCATGATTCGCATCACAATCACCCAAATGACGTGTTGTGTTTTTTTTTTTTTTGAGCTTCACTAACACGAGTCAGAACAATACTCATTATTATTTATTCATTCTTCAATCTCTGTGCTCTGTTACTTACAAAACAACATCATATATATCATGAACAGAACATCATATGTTATCAATGGATGTGCCAAGGTACTCTCGGCATCATCGCGTATTAGCACACGCAACAGCAACATATCAAAGATTGGCAGGATCAACACTAGTCATCATAAATCAATGACTCTAGTGTTCTCAAACTCTGATTGCAACAACAACAAGAGATCATTTACCAACAACACTATTGGCATTCAAAGACCAAGCGATGATGTCATCTCTAGTCTTGTCAACACTCCAATCATCTCTCAAAGAGGCACATTGGTCTCTCACAAAATAAGATCTCTCACTGACTATTCAAGTCCTTCAACAGGAACAAGAAGATACTCAACACAACCACCATCACAGCAACAACAACAACAACAACCACAACAACAACAGCAACAACAACAACAACAACCTACTCAAGAACAACCAGATCAGAATGAGGATGACAATGACAAGGTACCACCCAACTTGACATTGCCACAAAAGTTCAAGTTCATGGTCAAGAGGTACGGTATACTGTTTATCATTGTACACTTTACAATCTATGGCATCACGATTGGATCATTCTATTTGGCATTGTCACATGGCGTCGATGTCACACCAATCTTTGAATACTTTGGCATGGAGAAGTCTGATACTAGCAAGGGTGTGGGCGTCTTTGCCGTGGCCTTTGCCCTGACCAAGCTCACTGGTCTGGTGCGTACCCCATTCACCTTCCTCGTCGTTCCCTTCCTTGCTCGTTATCTTCGCAAGATTGGATGGATGAAGAAATAATCACTATTTTAATAATAATAACTCATTCATTCAATGATATTTATATATATGTACATCCCTTGTGCACAGGCCACTCGATATAATATATGGCGTGTGTGTCTGGCAATGTGTCGAGGTGCCTTCCAAAGGCGAAATGGGGATGGATTCATTCCAGACAGAATTGGACAATCCGTCCAATCAGTGTGTGATTGTGTATGTGACTGCTCGCTTTGTTGTTGTTGCATCATCTAGAGGTTCGATTGTTGCTGTTGTTGCTGTTCGAGTTGTTGTTGCTCTGCGATTGTTAAAGTTGGTTGATTGTCGCATGGACATATCTTCTTTGGATTCTGGCCAACAGTGGCAGCTCTACATATGATTCCACAAGCCAATCGTTTGTTTGACTCCTTTGTTTGGGGATTGACCGAGTGAAGTACTATTGAGCGTCCAATCAAGTCCCATATATCATAATCCTTGTTAAATATTCTAAATTGTGTCTTTCCTTCTTCACTTGTGATTGTTGTACCTGAACAAGAGGATACGTTGTTTGTTAGTAATCATTTAAATCATCCACAACATTAATGCCAACATACCCAGTGTACCAGTCGATTGTTTGTTTGTAGTTGTTGGCTTGTAGGGCAGACCAACATTGTCACAACCTTTGGTGAGATCACCGAATTGATGTACCACTAATGAATGTTGAGCACCAGGTTGAAGTCCACCAATCCTTCCTTCAAACAAAAGTCCACTGCCTGAGGATGGTGTATCGATTTCAATGACTCTGATGATGCCATGCACACCAGTGACTCCTTCGCCACCAGCACCACCACAGCCCTTCTCCCAGCCATCGGGTGCCACACCAACTGAACACACAGCAGAGCCCTTTGAACCAAAACCAGCAATGATAGCACTTCTTCCAGTTGACTTTATAGTATCTATGACGTCTATTGAGAGGTCAGTGCCTCTGACCACGAGTCTCTGTTCAGGTACATCAACGGTCAGAACCCTGGTGGACCTAAGATTGTTCTCGATGCTCACTGTGATCTCCTTGACACATGACTGACATGTCATATCGACCATAAGTTCAATATCTGCAATGACATTGTCATATTCCAAACTGTCCATATCTCTTCTCTCTCTTTGTTGTCTGTGTTATCTACCTTTTCAGAATGACACTCGACAACCTTGAGCTTTTTGATATTGCTCATTCACACACACGACAAAGAACATAGTTCCAAAAGAATCTTCATCTATCTGTTTAAGTGTATGACATAAACACTACATATATATATTACCATTGTCCTCGAACATCGATTAAAGTAATTGTATGTTTCTGGATTCAAACCTTAAAACCGTTTATAGTAAGCAGGGTCACTGAAACGATCGGACCAGTCGTGTTATGGCGACATTGATGGTTCATTGTAAGTACAACTACAACTACAAAACAAGAGTTACATAACAACAAATACGATTGTACTACTTGATGTACTGTACATTGTTGATGATCAACAACATTGATTGTCCAATCGATCTTGTTGTTGGTGGACCTTGTGATACAACCCAACCAACCTAATTATAGTGATGTGGGAGATCGTCAACCACCTCCACAAGTTGTTGTGTTTAATTCCAAAGGTCATATGACCATCAACTTTTAAATGTGTTTGTTGGTGTTTGTGTGTAGTGTTTATTTGTTTGTTGGTTTACTCTTGATTGATGTTGTGTTGGAGCATGAAGGAGCTGTTGTTGTTGTTGTTGATGATGTCTCTGGAATGGGCACACACCCATCATTATCATCATCATCATCGAAGAAGGCTCTATCTGTTAGTGTTTAGCCACTTCCATCCATTCAATCAATCAATCATATCAGTTAATCCATAATTACTACTATAACACACAATTAATATCAGATAGACATAACAATAGTATTCATTGAATCAAACATCCACCATATCATCAATAATAATAATCAAAAATGGATACATTGGTTAGATGCCCAAAGTGTCTAAATATATATAAACAACCAAAGACATTGGATTGTGGACATATTCTATGTTTATCATGTTTAACGGATCAATTCCATCCAGAGAGTTCACCATACATCAGTTGTCCAATATGTATCAAACAAACATTGGTACTGAATTCAAGTGTTGCAAATCTACCCTCGATCCCTGCCATTGAGGAGCTGCTCAACTACTACCCCGACAGCTTTGGAAGCACCCATCTACATGGCCACAATGCCAACAGTTCTGGTGTGATGCTCTCGCCACGTTATGAGCGTTTGATCACATCACCCTTGCCAGATATATGTGCCGCCGTCAATTTAGGTGGTGATCAAAAGCCTCGTGATACACCTTCCACTCTATTATCCGATGATATGGCCAAGTGTCCAATGCACCATGAACGTTACAAGTTGTTCTGTACCAACAAGGAGTGTGATCGTCTCATCTGTGCCGAGTGTATAATCGATCATAGTGGCCATCACTTCTCAAAGATTGCCCGCGAGACTGACCGACGTCTCACAGACATTGAGAACCTGGTGATCTCCATGTCCAACGTTCCAATGAAGTTGCTCAAGCACAAGCAGTTGATCGAGAAGCATATCACTGATGGCACAAAGATGTACACCGATACAAAGGAGAAGATTGCCTCTGATATTGATATGATGGTCAAGGCCCTGTTGGATCGCAAGGCCAATCTGGAGACCCAGATCGATAAGGATTGGACTGAACAGAGGCAACAACTCAACGATACATTACAAACCATCTCTGTAAATATTGGATTGATCAAAGAGACGAACCAGGTCACTCAACAGCTGATGGCAGAGAGGATAATATCGGAGAAGTCAATATTGGTTAATTTCAGTCTGTCATGTGATGACTCTGTTAGTACGGGCAGCATGGGACAGTTTAGCAATGGATCAGAGAGTACATCGAGCAGTGCAACACATATGGATGAGAACTTTAATAAGTTATCATTGTCATTGTTGACCAAGTACGGTGACCTGAGGAGAATGGAGGAGTTGTCAAATAACATTATGAACCAGGTCATCACAAACATTGAGTGGAAGTGGGATGCAGAGTTCCAGTATCCACATCTGTATCAATCAGCCAGTGGCACCAGCAGCAGCGGCAGGAAGGACAGACATTCCAGTCCAAATGGTGCATCCAAGAAGACCAAGCATTCACCTCCACATTCAGTTGCCTCTTCATCTTCGGGTCATCATCCAGTATCCACCACAGCACCACAATCATTGGATGACAGTCGCAAGTCAATGCCCAGATTACAGACAGAATCCTTAAGAAGTAGTGGTGAACCTGGATCATCCAGTACTAGTACCGCTGAGCCTATCATCACCAAGGTACCATCATCAACATCTGTGGTGTCTGTCATGTCCAGTGCTTCAGCAATGATAATCAACAACAAGTCCAACAATCATACTGCAACCACAGCACCCCTTCTATCATCATCAACACAAGAACTATCAGAAAGCAAACAAACACCAGCATCAACTACACCAATGGTACCTACACCATCTGGCCCACCAACGTCAATGGGTCCACTTCATCCAAAGAAGAACCCTGTGTTTGGAAAGTTGATGACCAGAAAGGACTCAATGATCAACTATCGACTTCAATACCTATACTCGATTGGTGGAGAGCACAGCGATGGCACTGTAGAGGTGTTCAACATCCAGACCAACAAGTGGAAGTACGTAGCACCTATGCCAAGGTCATTGTCAGAGTTTGCCGCCATCTACGACAACATCAATGCCATCTATTGTTTTGGTGGCCGAGAGACACCAGACTCAATCACCAAGTTTGACATTGAGAAGAACAAATGGGAGGTGTTGGACATCAAGCTGGAGACACCTCGCTCAGGTCATTGTGCAATCTTTGACGGACGTCGCTACGTCTATCTGATTGGAGGCAGTGGACCAGTGGCTGGCAAGTCGCTGGAGCGCTTCGATCTGTTCACCAAGTCAGTTACCAAGCTCAGTGGCATGACCTACGGTCGACGACATTTCCACACTTTCTACAACGGTGACAAGTGTTTGTATGCAGTGGATGGCTATGCAAACAAGGAGAAGAAGTCATCGATAGAGATGTACGACATTGAGAAGGACACGTGGAAGGTGATAACCACGATCAAGAGACCGAGATATCTGGCCAGTGTTACATTCGATGGAGCCAAGTACATAACGATCGAGGGTGGTCTTGACCGTTGTACCTCCAAGGACATCAAGGCTATGGAGAGATTCGACACTCAGTTCCTGACGTGGGAGACGATCTCACAGAGCGGTGACGAGTCTGTCGACACTGGATGTGATGATGAGCAACAGCAGGCAATGATGAGACTCAAGACAAAGAATAGGATCCAATTCTTCAACAGTTCATTGTTTGATGGCAGTCAGATGATCTATTACACTGGAGTCAACATTGACGAGCCACTTCCAATTGTATATCGCTACAACATCAGAACCAAGAGAATGGATCAATTGGCATCAATGGCCCATATGAGATTGTCCAACCAACTTGTAATGGTGACCAAGTAATATGATTCAATTGGTGATTAAATAGAGAGTGTCCAATATATATTAAATGTGATTCATTGTCCATATGGTTACAGCTCAGGTACAGTATTATTACTGCTGCTGTTTGATTGTGTGTCCTGTACCTTCTTCTTCCTAATGATCCACATCTTTGAACCAATTGATTCGAATTCAAATCCATTGTCAGTCAATAGAACAAAGAAGTTCTTTGAGTTGTACAACTTCCTCTTGTAGGCCATGATCATGAATGAGTCTGGTCGATGATCCATCAGTTGTCTAAGTGTTATCATTAGCTTTTCAAAGTAGGCCACATCTATAAAGAATGATATCAGTAAGTGTGCAGTGTCCAGGTAGAGGTATCAAAACATACATAATATGATATCACTTGCAATGACGACATCAAAGTTATTACGATCTTCGGGGAACTTATCTCCCCATGTATCTGTAGTTGTAGTTGTTGTTGTTAGTGGATGCTATCAATGAAGTAGTAGTTATACAACATACGAGGTATATGATCATATGATAGATTGTTTAGTGTTTGATTGTATATATTATTCTCAGTAACCTCTTCATTATCTATATCACTACTGGTGACATCGAATCCTTTACGCTATAAGTTGATAATGTAGTATAAGCCTGGATTGTGAATAGGAGTAATAAGGAATGTATACCTACCTTTAGGAATAGAGATAGAATACCAGTACCAGAGCCAATCTCTATGATTCTCTTGTTTGTAAACATTTGTTGATGCTCCAGCATATAGTCAATGATGAAGAATGTTGAAGGCCATACATAACCAGCATTGGTAGCACTGAAATGGAACTCTCTAATGGTCAACTCTTCATCTCTAATTGGTATCATCTTCTCTTCGTATTGTTGTGCCACTGACACATCCTTTGACTGCTGTTCATCTTCAGAGTCAGAGTTGGTCATCTTTGCAAAGTCACTTAGGTCAAACATCTTCTTCTTCTTCTTATTCTTCTTGTTGTAGTTATTTGTTCGTCGTTTGTGTATTAACTGTTGACAACAGTTGTCGTCTGATTCGTCTTTTTCAAATGTTTTCAAACGTCATGATTACTTGATTGATTGGTTGGATTCAATGTTGATGATCTAAATTAATAACATCATCATTTCACTGATCTTCACCAATTCAATAATACATATCCATCTATACATATATATATATACAACAATGACAAGCATCAGTAGATTACTTCTACTGCGCTCTTCATCATCATTGATTGTTCGAAGTGCTATCATTTCATCATCATCATACTCAACATCATTATCAACATTTAAACAACAACAACAACAACAACAAAGATACTACTCATACGCCAGACCAACATGGGAGAACAACTCTGGTAAACTAAACATACAGACCAGCGCCAATGACTTTGTAGAGGTGAACCCAATAACAAAGGTACATACATCTACCATCACATCACTCAATGATACATACTTACTTACCTACTTACTCAAATACATTCAGGAAAGGGACATTGAAGGATTACTATGGGTGAACAACCTTTACCCAATCAAGATATCTAGATTCGACTTTAGATCTCTACTGTTCCACATACCAATCACTGCCAAGCTGCGCACAATGATGCCAGACGACATTGAGATCATATCGTTTGAGCGTCGATTCAAAGAGGGTGGCGCATACATTCACTTTAGGAAGATGACCACTGATCCCAATGAGAACGTAGAGAACATTGCTCAGGTGATCAGTTCACTGTTTGTATTGAACAACAAACACTTTCACTTTGCCTCGTCTCCTGCTCGTGCCATGTTGGTGCGTGGTCGACCACTGGTGGAGGACATCGACTCGTCCATTCCATCATTTGTACTAAAGGTCTACTTTAAAGGCTCAGAGATGTCCACTGACACTCTCTACCGTATCATCCGTCCCTATGGACATATCAAATATATACATACACCAGAAAACCAACCTAAAGGTAGGTGATGTACTTGTAGGACCGTTTCCAACAACAAACTGTTCACTAACTCAACTACTCTGTAGACGCACCAAAGTTTGTCCATGTTGCATTCAAACGATTGGAAGGTGCCATCGCAGCCAGGAATTGCCTTCACAACAAGTACTTCCCAGAGTTAGGTACAACTGTATTTATGGACTATGTCCTCATGATGGTAAGTATCAAGCTTACTTCCAGGCAGTATATAACTTTAAAGCATATTAATATCTTATACAATCAATCATTAGCGAATCAACAAACTCAAGGACATGTTTTCCAATCATCCAAGGATTATGGTATGTACATCCACCAATCAATCAATCAATCAATCAAAGGATTGTACCATTCTAACAAACTACGATAAATAGATACCACTTATTGGTATCCTAGCTACAGTCCTGACATTGGTACTATTCAATCCACTGAGAGAATGGTTCATGGAGAGGAAGCTATCAGAGAAGATATTCTTTGCAGAGATTGAAGAGTGGCAGACGAGAACAGAGGAGAAGTTACTCAATTCACACTTTAACTACAGACCAAACTCAATCGTGGTCATATCGGCACCAAAGGGATCGGGCAAGTCCAGCCTGGTTGACAAGATCATGCAGGACAGGGAGAACACATTGCTCATTGATTGCAATCAAGAGGTGAACAACTCTGATGAGGAGTTCATCGAGAACCTCTCCAAAGACGTGGGATTCTTCCCCAGTTTCTCATTCTACGCAACAGTCTCTGGATGGATGGAGGCTATCCTGCCCATTGGCAAGGGTGTATTCCACTCATCAACCGCCACACAGTTGCAGACAATACTCAAGTTGCTAGACTCATGTCTGGAGAAGAGGGAGAAGACTTTCCCTGAGGACTCCCACACTCCCTTTCCCTATCCACTCATTGTGATTGATGGTTTCTTTGGCATGATCCAAGCAATGGAGAACAAAGAAAAAGCCAACATCATCATGGACTCTATCATTCAGTGGTCAATCACAGTCACTATCAAAGGAACAGCTCATGTTGTCTTTATCTCTTCAGATCCATTTGCATCAGATACTATTAAGAAACGTAAGTCTTTATTTATTAACGTTACTTTCGCAATATATATCTAATGAATGACACATTGCTTATAGATTTGGTATCAAGAGGAGGAGGACAATCAACAACTATACATCTGGGCGATGTGCCACCACATTCCGCCAGAGAGTACATTAGACACAGACTAGGAAGAGATCTTAGTGCGCAGGACTATGATCATATCATCAACACATTGGGTGGAAGATACTCTGATCTCAACTACATGGCTCAACGTATCATGTCTGGCTATGAGGTGGACAAAGTATTACATTCAATGGTGTCCAAGTGTGTTGGAGAAATTCGTTCAGATGGATTCGGTCTGTCCAAACGAAGTGACGCCAAGCTCAAGGAGAAGGAGCAACCCAAGTGGACACGCCCACAACTCTGGGAGACAATCAAGCGTATCGCCGAGAACAAGTACGTCAGCTATGATGACCTATTGTTCAATGTCTTTCTTGGCGATCAGTCCTCTCTAAACAACCTTATTACTTCAAACATCCTGCGATTCCAATCGATTGACAATGAGAGAATGGTCACCTCATACTCACCGCTCTACTGTGCCGCCTTCCAATCCATGGTGGACGATGTAGAGTTCTGCGTTGGCATGGACATCTTTGCTCAAAAGTCTAGAATCGAAGAAGAGTTGCAAAAGTTGTCCAAGGTAGAGGATGAATTGATCAAGGTAAGTGAACATAAGTGTCTTTGAAATCCATCCCAAACTCTAACATTCATCCTCCTTTACACTCACATCTACAGATCAAGAATCTAAGTGCCAACAACTGGTGGTTCGAGGAGATCGGATTGAAGAAACGACGTCAACTCTTGGAAAAGAAGATGAAGGAGCATGTCGCCAAGATAGAGACCAGGGAGAAGATACTAAAGAATCACATGAACTTCCAAAAGTCCTACCAAGCTCAAAAGATTGAGAAGGAGAAGGATTTGTAGTAATAAAATAATAATAATATATATGCCTTGTATTTGGAATGGTGGAGCAACAATTGGTTGTCTGGGAGAAGCGTTGTTGTTAATGTGGTTTAAATAGAGTCGGTCTCTTCCACTGGTTGTTGTTGTTGTTCTGGTTGTGGTTGCTGTTGCTGTTGCGCTTGTTGCTGTAAACCCATCATGAAAGCGGACTGATGAAGTGGGATACGTGTGAGTTTCTTTGATGCTGGAGAGTTATTGGTCACCATACTACTGGCCAATGGAATACTTGCACCACCACTTGGACTGGTACTGCTGCTGATGACGTTTGTATTGTTATTGCTGCTGCTGCTGCTTCCTCCACTTGGATCGTTTGGATCTTGGAAGAATAGCTCCACTCTAAAGTTCTCGCTGTAGGACTTGTGTTTCTTGTCCTTGTGTGCCTTGTCCAAACCAGTCTTGGTGATGACTTCATGCTGCGCCACGAACGAAGTGTTTATCCAGAACATAAACATGCGATCCTCCTTATTGCATATCTCTATTCTTACATCGCCATTTACATCGACCTTTGTAAACTCGAATGAAACGTAGTCATCATTGTCCTCATCGTTCTCCTTCTTTCCAACGATCTCATTCTCGTAGTAGGTCTTGTAATCAAAGTTGCTGACTGTACCATATGGATTGGCCTCCATCTGCTTCAACATGGCAGAAGTGCCAGCGCTTCTACCAACAGTAGAGTAGCTCTTTGCTGATGGAGATGAAGGTGGTGATACAGTAGTGTTCTGTTGTGGTGCTGGTGTCTTGTCCTTCTTGAATAACACTCTCCTCTTCTTCTTGTGATCCATTCGTTGTATAGTAATATTAAAATGATCATCCTATAAAGTGTTTAAGTTAGTATCCAGTGATTTCATTCATATAATCTAGTCTGTTAAACTAACCTTTGAATTAAATATAGTCTTCTTTAAGAGACATATATTGAAATTAATGTCAGAGAGATTGATCTCATTGGGCAATGGTTTGAGTACGATCTTGCCCAAGGTCAGTGGTCTGTGCAATTGATGGTTGCCGCTGGCCTGTACGAATCGTCCAAAGTAATGTACATATCGAATTTGACTTGGAATAGTGACACCCTTCTGATTGTATGTCCTGAGTGCCGCGTAGAATTTGAGTGAGCTCTCAGTGTCGGTCCACATGCGACAGTAGAGAAGCCAACAGCATATCATCAGACCAGTCCTGCCCTTGCCTGCCTTGCAATGAATGACTGCAATGTTCTTCTCACTACGACTCATCCAATTATCGACGTCCTTGCAAAACTCTTCGATCAGTGTGAACTCTGGTGCATTGTGATCATCGAACGGATAGCATGCCACTCTACCATGGAACTTGCCATGATCATAGTCTCTCTCTGAGCACAGATTGTAGACTCTGTAGTGATCCTTGTGTTTCGTCTCCAAGAATCGTTGTACCTCCTTCATTGGATTCCTAAACACTCCCTCCATCTTTTCACTGGGGAATCCCATTGCTATTATTCTCTCTGTGATATCTAAACAACAACAACAACATTGTATGTAATGTTAACACCTATATTTATATCCATCCATCCATCTATCTATCTTGGGACTAATTGTAGAGAGAGTTGATAAAACTAAACATACATGCTAAATCTAGATCGAATCCATCCTTTTGGTATCTTCTCTTCTGTTTTGAAACAGCCAATCTGAGAAGTTGTGCCATTATGTATTATTATTATTTGTATGATAGTAATTGATGTATTTGTATGATAGTTGTTGTGTGATTGTGTTGGACAAAACATTAACAACTGTTGGGTGCCACTACCGACCCCGATTGTATATTTTGTCACGAGGTTGTGGTTATAATATATCCAACGGCAAAAATTATTTGAAAAGTATGGGTCTTTGCAGGCCAAACTAGTTTATTTTCTCTTGTTGTCGTTGTCTAGTTTCCACCTGTGCCAGAGTTAATGTGGTCCAGAATTTTCTCAAGGATGTCCTGTAGACTGACCACTCCAATTGGTTTACGATCTTGATCGACCATGAACACTCGATGTATCTTTGCAGCTGCCATTCGAGTTATCAACTTCTTGAGTGGTTCATCCTTTGAACAACAGATGCTTGGATGTACAGCCTTGTAATCCTGTTGTCTCACTTTGGATATGAACTCACCTACAGAGAGGAAAAGGTTCTCGAAAATCCTTGTTTCATTCAATAGCTCCTTCAAGTCCCTGGCACTAATGTTGGCCAATATCTGGTTCTTCTCATCTACCACTGCGATACCATTCACTCTCTAGAGATGATGATTATTATTAATATATATATTTGTTTAGTTTGATTCACAACTTACATGCTCTGCCATCAATTGGAATGCTTCGAGAGCTCTCTTGTGATAGTTGATTGTGATCACATGCTTCTCTTCAAATCCCAGGTCTTTAAGAGATTTGTTACTCCAATTGCCCAGTTTATCAATATTCTTGGAGAGGTACTGGAGAATGGCAGACTGTGTCACAAGGTTGATGATCTTTGGTCCATGTCCACCGCTCATGTCATTGGCAATGATTGGAACTCTGTGTAGTTTGTTCTTGGACATTACAGTAATTGCCTCCAACAGAGAAGCTCCCTTGACCACTGGGATGAATGGATTCTTATTCGAGAGATCTCGGTTATCAAAGAGGTTGAGAGAACATATGAATGTTAGTAAGAAAGAGTTTAACAATAAACTATTGGTATTCATACCTGATAAGAAACTAGCGTAGGTATGAGAGAATAGGTCTTCTCTCTCTAGGAATGAGTAATAATCATTTCCAAGGAGGTCGGTGTGATGTAGAATCTGAACGACACAACATACAATATCTACAAAGTCCACCAATCCCTCTGGACGATTAAACTCGTTGAGAACTGGTGCTGAAAGTATGTTGTTCTTTGAAAGTGTCTGGCGGAGTGAAGATTGATATGTAAGTAAAGAGTCGACTTGCAAACTAATTGAGAATGATACAATTACCTCAAAAACCTTTGGAAGAGTGTCTGTGTTATGAACACATATCATCTTGTCCGACTGGGGAGGAAGATCCTCCACCAAGAAAGATGACAATAAGTTGAATGCCATTATTGAGTATAAATATTATTGTTGTTGCTCTTGTAGTTGTTGGAAAAGTTGTAAATATAAAAATAAATGTTGAATGTCTAATAATAAGGTATGTATGGTCGACTCAGTGATAAGATCAATCCATCCTAGAGGATGAAGTTTAGGCTTTGCAATGAGGAGCTTTTTTGTGTAGGCTCCAATGACCACTTTACCAGGACTGTGGTCCACTTGTACCTCGTGTCTAAAACAATTAAAAGGGCTGCCAGATGAAGTAATAGACTAAAGAGGCAACAACATGATGTTTTGCAAACTTCTAAGTTTCCATCTTTGGGTCTCGATTGTATTGTTGTTTGTTGTTTGTTGTTGTCAGACATTGGGTATTAGGTCGTATGTCACCCCTCACGATGACAAAGATCGGGTGGGTGTGCGTGTATGAATGACGACAAGTTGTTATTGCTCCGATGGGGGTTGATAGGACTGTTTGAAGTTCTCACTTAATGAGTTCCAAATAACATAGTCAGTGCTGACCAACTCTCTATCCACATTGATCTTATACTTGGATGCTGGATATATTGAAACCTTCTTGGAATCAATGTTGAAGCCACTTAATGTGCTATGTAGTAATTTAAAGAATAACTGTGATGATTGATTGATGTTGTTCAACAGGTTATTAGTTATTTGATAAAACTACAACTACTACAACTACTAAAACTAATACTCACTCTAACATATGAATTTGTTCCTTGACAGAATGGGTCACGTTCATCCTCATCACCAAGTGACGTCTCTGTGATGGGGAACTGCTGTGAGGGGAATCCAGTCACTGATTGGTTTCCACTGCTGCCAGTGACAGAGAGTGTAGGTGGTATTGTGGTGTTGTTTGTAAAGGTGATTTCAGCAGGCAGTGCCACCTCGAGGTTGCGTCCAGAGAACTTTTGTCCAATGTTCCATATGATGGCCTTTAGATTGACGTCAATGTGCAATGTGCCCGTAGTAGGTGATGCATTGACGATATGGATGTTGCCACGATTCTTGAAGGGAATGCGCATGACACAATAGTCAAAAGAGTTGGTCATCTCAGAGTTTAGCTTCAACTGTACAAGTATCTTGACGACGGTTGGTGTGATTTCCTTCATCTGGTAGAAGCCACGTACGGGTATAGTCTTGATACCGGCCACTCCATAACTGAGCACTTTGAATGTGTCCAAGGGAGGTGTGAATGTGATCTTGTTGGTGACCATGACGTCAGACGTGGTCTGTACGGTGGCATCGATGGACATATGTGTGATCGATGCCTCTGATGAGAATCCTGCGCCCACCGTGTTGGGTGGTGCACTGTAGGGTGGTGTCGTCAGATAGGCAGACACCTCTGGCAGACCTTCAAGCTCTGCTTTGCAATAGAGTGATCCAAACACCTTGCATTGATCCACCACACCTGGACTGTCGTACTGAATCGACTGAATAGTCTCTGATATGATAAAGTCCAGTTGTTGCTTTCCCTTGTGGAGGAATGGTCGCCATGCTGGTCTTCTCGGTGTAAATGTGTCGGTGGTTGGGAATCCAGACTTGATCATTGTCTTTACATTGTTAAAGTTTGAATCTGTGGGCTGTCCAAATGGTATTATGTTGGCAAAGTATACTTGAAGTTCTGGATATGGTGGCTAAAAGGAAAGATGTGTCAATGTCTGCCAGCAGTAGTAGTGGACGGTGGTTCGATATGTATGAACCTTACAGGCTTCGAAAGGAATGCTTGTGTGAAATAGGCCACCTCCTCCAAAAATGACACAGAGGCGGTGATCGATGGTAACTCTATGAGTGATGGTTTGATGGCTGTGGTCAGGTGCTCTTCGATAACTGGTATTGTGATGTAGTAGAAGTTCTTTCTCTTGATATAGACCACTGGCCACAGTCTGTCTTGATTCAGTGATATTACATGTGTGTTTGGTGTTGATTGATATACACGAAGTGATGTTGATTGTTGTTGTTGTTGTTGTGACTGCTGCTGTGTGTTATTACTACTACTACTACTATTGTTTGCAGACATTATCTCAAAGTAGAACAACTTTAGAAGATCATTGTCAGCAGGTATTGAGCTATAGTTTGTACCAGCCATCAGTCTAACCCTGACCTCGACAGTATTGATTCTTTTAGAAAAGACAACATCTGCACCTGTTGTATGCTCCTTCAATATCCATACGCCTCTTAGTGTACACATTCTATTCTCTTGTTGTTGTTGTTGTTGTTGTAATTGACTGTTGGTGACGACAATGATTAGAATTCTCAGACATCCAATAGATTTAGATTTTGATCATGTTGGTGGGTATGAATAATCATTGGAAGAATCATCAAAGGATTCCAATGTTATTGGTATAAGTTATAATCAATAGAAGATATATTATATCATCTTATTCATAAGATGGAATTATCTGGTTAGTAGTACTACTACATTGTTGACTATTAAGGAAAACAATCGAAGTTCGTACATTTCCATTTTTTCACTCTTTTCGATTGAACCTTTCCTGTCCTCATTGACACACAAACAGATAATCAGATCAAAACAAAGAGAGAGATACAAAGTAATAGAGAGAGAGAGATGACATCATTCCATCCAGGTCCAGATCACAAGGGTATCGAGATACCATACAAGCTTCAAAAGGTTGCTTACTACAGAGAGAACACCCAGGTGTGGTTCAAGTATACTCCAAAGGTCGTCAAGTCTGTTCTGATCTTTGGTGTTGCCATACCATTGTTCTGGGTATTCGCTACCATTAAGCAAGATGTAACTATCAAACAAACTCATTGTGATCTATCTATGTTATCATCTTTTCTAACAATGTTTAACATCGTCGATGACGACGACCAATACAACAACAAAAACAACAGGAGAACCAAGCACTTAACAAGACTCCAAGGAAACTATAGGTGATTGGATAAACTCATAAATATATACACACAGATCAAACGAGACAGAGTGCAGCAGCAACAGCATTAGTATCAAGAGCGCAGGTGCAATGGTCTTATCGAAATGGTGACAGTGTTGTCACATCCAGACTATCAATGACTTGACTACCAGACTCAATTGTACAATTATATATAAATGCTGTCCCAATCAATCTGAACAAAACAAGTTATATATGGTATAGGTTATATATTTATTGACACTCTTCGTTGTCGGAGAACAAGAGTTCATCATCATCAAGGATGATGTCAGATACCAATGGCTTGGTGGGACCAGTGGAGACAACAGCAGCAATCACTGTGATGTCGTCCAACTTTCCTCCGTTATAGAAATATCCGTTGAGTCCAGCGTTCTTGGCAAACGGTGTGAAGGCTGTGGTAGACTTTGCTACCTCGTAGGCACGTGCCGCGATCATCCTGGCCAGTCTCTTTGGGCTGTCACGGTACTTGATGGCGATGCGGCAAATCTCGTCGTCGAATAGGTTGTCAAAGACACCGTCGGTGCCCACGACAATTATATCTCCCTCCTCCACGGTAAGTGCCGTCACGACAGAGTGGGTGGGACGGTCAATTGACTGGGTACCCAACTGGAAGGGCATGTTGAAGGCGTGCTGCTGCTCACGAGTTCTAAAGATGATGTCTACGCCACGGATGACGAGATAGCCACTGTCACCCAGGTTGGCAGAGGTGAGCATGTCGTCCTCGAGCACTACGATGCAACATGTGCTGCTTCCCTTGATGTCCTGAGAGTAGATATATCCCTTCTCCATGATGTCCACTGGATGGCGATTGGCACTCGTGTCGTTAGTGGCCAACTTGGATCCCTCCATTAGGTTGTTTGAGTAGAGGCTTGGATCGACTCCAACGTCGCCCCATCCTCCAACACCGTCGGCCACACCAAGTACCTTGCGGTCGTTGCTGATAAAGTTAGCGTCCTCACCACCCTTGTGTCGTTTGTTTGGGTGGGGGATTACACAGATACCCGAGTCAAAGTGGAGGCCGTGAGACGAAGATGCGTTACTCTCTTCGTTGCTAGAGTCGAGGGCATTGGTGGCCTGGTCACTGAAGCGGGTACCTGGTGATTGCAGTGCAGACATTGCTAGCAGCTCTTGCTTGCTGTCGGTGGTGGCGGCATTATCGTCCTCCTCAGTGGTGGCCTCCTCTGCCTCTTGGCATTTGGTTTCGTTGGCTGATGGCAAGTCCTCACTGTCCTCATTGGCCTCCAAGACAGCGTCACTGGAGGAGGTGTTGTTGACAGAGACCTTCTCAAAGGCACCAGCAAAGAGTCCTTTGAAGAGGGAGGCGTTGGCAGCAGTGGTAACAGCGGTTGGGTCGTTGACGCATTCAATCTCAGAGAGCAACTGATGGTTGGACGCTAGTAGAGTTGGGGAGAGCAACACACCGAGGTGAGTCTTTGACTTGTTTGAGTTATTGTTGTTATTGGAGTTGTTATTATTACTTTGTTGTTGTTGTTGCTTTCCACTGTTAAATCGGAAACCGTTGTTACTGTTGTTGAAGCGATAGTGATGATAGTTGTGTTGTTGTTGTTGTTGTTGTTGGGTAAAAGACGAGGAAAAGAATCGGTAACCTCGTTGGCGTTCGGTGGCAGAGTCAATGATGCGCTTTGATGTAAATGTGTTGTTGTTGGTGTTGGTGTTGTTAAAGTGTCTCTTGAAGTTAATGTTGTTGGTGGTGTTGCAGAGTGATCGTTGGTTCTGCCACTTTATATAGTTTGATATCTTCAACGAGTTGAGAACACGTATATTGTATTGATGAGTGTTGTTGGTGGCAGTGGTGGATGGCGATGTTCCTACGACTACATTCTTTGAGTCTCTAAGTAGTGAGGTGTTGAATAGTCTAAATTGTTTACTCATCTTTGTTTATATATTTATTATATATATAATGGGTATATATTTATATTTATATTATTAATAGTATGCGTGGTTAATATGTGATTGGTAATTGTAATGTTGTTGTGTTATGTTAATTATAAAGTGTAATGATATATAGTTTTATATATATAATATATCTTATTGTTAATATATATATCTATATAGTTATTATTATTATTATTATTATTATTTGTAAACAATCACATAAAAACACTCACAATCGACAATGTTAAAAAGTTGCGCGACAAAAGCAATTGTAGGCTCCTGTTGTGAGACTCGTATTTTGAAAATTAAATTAAAAAAAAATCCGAAAAAGGGGACCGTTAATCCTTTTGATGGCGAATGTCGTTGAGTTCTTTTGATTGGTTTGATTGATCTGGCCACTAGATCTAGATCTGTTTTAATGATGTCGGTCCAATTTAATAGGTAGCAGTTTATATGATTAATATATATATATATATATATATATTACTCTTATAATAACAATGAGTTAATGGTCATCTGATCAAGAATTTACCAAGAAATACATTGGTTGATGAGTGTATGGTATTGATTGGCGCCAAAATTAACGAATTCACCACGTGGCACCCAACAACATTGTTGTGATGACTCACCCCAGGGAGCGAAGCGGTGTTTGTATGTGTGATTACCACCAAACTTTATTACTACTACCGCTCAGACTTGATCACAATGCGCCATCATTCCATGTAGCAACTCCTTTAGGTCATTAACATATCGTGTCCTTTGCAAACGATCCATGTTGTTGCTGTTTTCCTCCATGAGGTTGAAGAATTGTTTGCCACAGTCCTTCATCTGTCTCAGTGTCTCAGCTATATTCCTCGATCGGTTTGGGCCTGCAGCAGCTGTTGTTGTCGGATAGACCAAATCAAACTGTGTCTTTACATTGCCATTGTTGGTGTTTGTGTTGTTGTTGTTGTTGTTATTGCTATTATTGTTGCCACCACCAACATGGTGACCATTTTGACCAATATGTTGTTGTTGTTGTGATTGTTGCCTTGCGAGCTGCATGAGAGTATTGCTGTCCAGTTTGGTAAGCATATCGATCTGTTTGTTGTCCTCCTCCTCAAATGTAAACTCTATACTGCCAATCGGTTCAATGACACTATGCAGTTGGTTATCGAATGCTCTGCAAAGATCATTTGGCAGTGTTGGCTTTGACTTGACTTTCTTTGAGTAGTCTGTTATGAGACTGTTATGTGATTATCAGTCAGTAGGTGTTAGGAATATAGATGTGAGCGTGTCATTTTAAACATACGATTGGACCTGATAACGAAGTGGCCAACTGTCGCCAATCGATGAGATCAAATGTGTGATTATCTTGTTAATAGTTCGTATGGTGGTTTGGAAGCTCATCTGATCCATTTGGTCCACGACATTCAGAGATAGAAGTGAATGTAGTAGTTGACTGATGGCGCATACCAATGGTGAGATATCATCTATTGTCGACACAGAGTTCAACAGCTATGGTAGGTTTGGATGACCATGATGGTGATTAGTATACAACTATTCGATTACTTTCTATCGATAAGGTCCACTTACATTTGGTATTTGTTTTGGTAGTAAGGCAGAGGAAAGGCTTGCCAGCTTGAGCAATATAAGTTCCACAATGTTCGGATTGGATGAAACAGATGATTTGGAGGTGGATGAAATGTTGTTGAGTGTCTGAATGTATACATCAATCAGCTGTGACTTGGCATGAAGTGAGATAAGATCCGCGTGGATAGATTCAAATAGGTATAGGGTATTGATCTATGTCATAGTGTTCATGTTAGAGGATGAAGGTGATCAAGGTGATATGTGTATGTCAAATAATTACCATTGTTTCAAGGTCATTCGTGTCGAGACTGGTCTTGAGTGATTGGATAGAGGTGTAGCATACATCATCAATGCTGTTGAGAATAGTCTGGCTGGTGTTTGATGTGTGGACCAATGACTTAAAGAATAATATCGGCAGTGAAGGAAATTCATAAAGAGGTGTCTGCTTGGGCATTAGTGCATCCTGCACTAGGACTTTATATATATCGATCTGATGATTGGTGTAAGTATTATTGTTTGATCGTTCGTTCGATAGTATAATACTTATACTTACTTGCTTTGTGTGATCGTTGAGGAAACATCGCAGGAGCATTGAGAAGCAACCATAAAAGTCATCATGATTGTTTAGGTCCTTGTTGCTGTACAGTTGGGCCAAATGTAGTATGTAAGTGTAGCTGAGGTTGTAGAGAGGTGTGTTTGAGCCAAAGCGAATGGTAAATTCCCATAGATGACTGGCAGCTCGTTGAATGACTTTGGATGTGCTGATTACATTCTTAGCCAATGAAACAATGAGAGAGTTGCCAATCATTGATGGATTGTTTGCAATGAGTTTGGAGCAGGACCTGATCGTATCGTCAAAGAGTGATGGTATACCAGGGCAATGAGGCAGTAGATCCATGCTGAGCATGAGGAGGGAGAGAAGTGAATCAATGGAAATAGTTATGTTGGCCATGGGTAAACGATTGAACAATGATTGAATAGCTTTCAACTTTCCAATTGTCCTGCTTTTAAGTTGATCTGGTTGTTGTTGCTGTATATTTTGAGTGTTCGCTGATTTGTTACTGTAGTGCTGTAGTTGGAAAAGGTTGTTGAATATGCTCTCGCCTTGCAGTTGTAGCAACAATGAGATGTGTTCCTCCATGATCTCCTGTATTTGGTTAGAGATGAGTGATCCAGAGGGTATGTGTGTGCCAAGATATGTGTAGGAGTCGATGATATGATTGGCGTAGAAATCCAACGACAGGAACTTGTTGGAAAACAGTCGGTAGAAGATTTGGACACCATTCGAGTAGAACTTGAACAACTTTAAATATTTGGGACTAGTCTGTTCAGTGCCATTCTAGATGGAGACATAATGGTTAATATGTATATCTTGAAGATGGATTGTTTGATGTAGTAGGTACCTTTTTGGTGATGTTAATCATCTCGACAAGGTTGTGATAGGCGGCGGTGGCAGTCTTTTCGAATGTGTTGCGGTACTCGACATGATTGCTAATCTTGGGATTGGAGCTGATGAATGCCTGTATCGACTTGTATGTGTTCAACAGTGTTGGAAAGCTTGTATCTATTCCAACTTCGAATACACTAAACAGATCTAAACAATCTATGTTTGGTTAACGGCTATGATGTTAGAGTTAAGTTGCCCTATGTCTCATTGATGATTCAATTTACATTGTGTCAGACTGGATAGAGGTGAGCTTGGTGAAAAGAAGCCTTCAACAGTGGATTGCTCTCTGATAAGGACATAGAGTGACTCGATCTTCTTGAGGATTGCATCGCACTGTTTATCGAGATGTCGTTGTTGGTTGCCCAGATCTATGACCACCTTTTGATCGGCGAGTTGTTTGGTCACCTCTTTATATTGCTTCGACTGCTTCAACATTGTAAATACGATCGAGAACAGTGGACGAATCTGTTGAGCAGATAGAGGCTCAAGACGTGTAATATGATTGAACATATTGGTGTATAGGTCGACAAACACCTCCTGTACCTCCAGAGTAAGTAGTATTTCCTCGTCCAACTCTGCTATATCATTGTCGGTTGCAGAGGCAACCACTTTCGCAGCACGTCCAACAAGTTGAGCTTTGAGTCGCTGTGTGAAGCTCTCTGACAGTGACAATGTCTTGTCGATGAGCATTGACATGAACTGGATCACCTCTAACCTCTCTCTACAGTAGGTCGATATGAAAGGAATTGCAAGTTTCCATGCCAAGAATGAAGTAGTTTGATCGTTAGAGTCGATGTATCTCTTATGATTGTTGTGTTGTAGGTGGTATGTTAATATTATGGTTGTTGATTGTTGTTGAACCGAGCTGTCAAGAAGATATACCTGTATTATTGAATTGAGACCATTCTTTATATCTTTGGTGTTGGTATTCTGTTGTTGCTGCTGCTGACTTTGGACCACACCAACAACAAGGTCATTCAGATAGGATCGTATTGAATCAACATGCTGTAGTTGTTGTTGTTGTGGTTGCAAGAGCTGCTGCATACATTCATGCATATCTGTCGTTGTATTTATGTGTTGTTGTTGTCGATCAGTAGTCATTGTTATGTGTACCTGTGTTGTTCAGGGATGAAGAGATAAGAGACCTTTTTGTGTTTACTATTATTTCTAAGAAGATAATACTTTTTTGCAATTCCAATGGAATATCTGATTGTTTATTTGCCCTTAACATGCGCATGCCTACAATAATAATCGAGTTATCACTCTTATGATCTACTTCTTGATCTTCTATTGCGTCGTCCACCTCCAGCTCTGTGTATTTATGTGGGTGTTGGTGTATGTTAGATAACTTGGAACAGCAGCAATCAACTATAATGCATGTCATCATTATTCATACCTAGGAGGAGGAGATCTTCCTCGTCTATTTGGTGAGTACGGTCTGTAGTGGCCTGATTTATTATTCCTGCCTCCACCGCCGCCACCACCACCGCCTCTATTTCTTTGTGGCATCTTCTTCTTTATAAATCGTACAACAATTACATTTCCATCAATCTGTCCCTGTTATATTGGTAGTGGTAAAGGTTAGTCCATGATTGGTCCATTCTGGATAGATCGGTAATACATACTCCGTCCAAATATTTCTTTGCCTTGTTTCTCTCCTCCTTGTCCTCAAACGAGACAAAGGCGATGCCCAGAGGAAGATCCTTCTCTTTGTCCCAGAGCAGGTTTACATCCTTTACCTTGCCAAAGTACTCGAATATCTCCTTGATATGCTCCTTTGTAACGTTGGGTGTCAATCGATCCACTCGCAACGGTGACAAACTGGCCGACCGTGATCTTGACCTTGACTGTCGCTTCTCTGATTCGCCTTGAGTCGCTGTGTTTGCCTGGGATGTCCTCGTACCATTGTCCATGGGTGATCTCTTGTTCCTTCTGATGGGTGATCGTGAATCTTGACGCCTGACTGGTGATCTCCTTCTTAATGGTGGAGTCCTTCTGGGTGGTGATCTTGAGTCGCCCCTCCTAATCGGTGACCTTGAGCCACCTCTCCTGATTGGTGATCTTGATGCGCCTCGTCTTAATGGTGACCTTGAGCCACCTCTCCTGATCGGTGATCTTGATCCTCCTCTTCTAATCGGTGATCTTGATGCACCCCTTCTTATCGGTGATCTTCTAATTGGTGACCTTGATCCACCACCTCTTCTGATTGGGGACCTAGAGTCGCCCCTTCTGATTGGTGACCTCGAATCTCCTCGCCTCATTGGTGACCTTCTGATTGGTGATCTTGAGCCACCTCGTCTCATGATTGGTGATCTTGATCTGCCTCTTCCACCTCCTCGTCTCATGATTGGTGACCTTGATCTTGACCTCCTTCCGCCACCAACGCCACCACCTCTTCTCATTGGGGGTGGCGGTGATCTCCTACCGAGAGGAGAGCGAGATGGTCTCCTGCCAAGTGGTGATCGTCGCATTGGTGAAGGTGATCGTGACATTCTTCTGCGTCTGTCTGGTGAAGGTGAAGGAGAGTATCGACCTCTTCTGATTGGTGATCTGCCACCACCACCATATCTTGGTGATGGTGATCTCCTGACACCACCATATCGTGGTGAAGGTGATCTGGAGTTGAGCCTTCTCCTTGGACTGTAGCCGCCACGAGGTGAAGGTGATCTTGAGCCGACAGCACGTGGAGGCAATGGAGCTCTCCTCTCCCAACTTCTGCTTCTACTTCTGCTTCTGCTAGGTCTGATTGGTGGCAATGGAGCAACACCATTGTTACTCTGTTGTTGTGTATCTCCTCCACCTTCTCCATTGGTGGTGGACTCATTCATCTTTATGTCTGACATATGTTGTAATCTGCTGATTATCTATATATGTATGTATGTATGTTGTGTTGAATGTTAATTCATTGATTGATGAAGTGGATACAAGTGAACATACCAATACACACAACAACTTGATTTCAAAAAAAAAAAAACATCTATTGAGTACTCCAATACAGTCACTCAATGTTGGGGAATGAACATATTAATATTGTTACATTTAGGGATGGATCTCTAAACATATAAACCTTTATTCTTTGGTATAGATTATTCTATAAGGTCTTATTCCGGAAGTATCTCATATATAACCAAAGATATACATATAACTTCAAATTATATAAAATAAAAAAATTAATCGTTCGTTGTAAAACAAGTAGATGACGAAGAACTCAAAACATTAGTAGTTGCAGATTGAGTCAATCAGAGTACATATATTTGTATTTATATAAACATATATATATATATATATATATTATAAACAACGACCAGTACAATAACAATGGAGGTCACAAAGTATCAATCATTCATTCATGGATTCTCGATCGACTATCCAAAGGGATGGAAGGTCAGTGAGAACATGGGATTCTCAGCCGTCATCTTCACGCCACCAATACACTCTCAACAATCACAAGAGAGCACAATGTTAAACTTGAATGTCTCTATTCAAGATCTTTCAAGTAGGTAGCTGTTGCAACAATAACAACCAACACCAGCATCAAGAAACTGACATTGAACATGACGCTCAAACCACCAAACAAACAAACCAACAACTAGATGCTACAAATGGCAATGGCATCCCATCACCGGATGACTTCCTAAACATCTCGATACAGCAAGTGAGCCAAATGGGTGCTCGTGCCCTCAAGCATGGACCAACAAAGATTGGACCAGCTCACGCCCAATACGATGGATACTTCATGTCCTACATGTTGGAAAACGAAGGAAGTGGCATTGTGAAGATCAACCAGTCTTTCTTCATCAACAACACCTTTACCTACGTTGTGACACTCTCGGTGCCATCTCGTGAGCCCAGCCTCATCGAGGCCTATGAGAAGGCTGTGGCCTCGTTCACAATCTTTGCACCAAAGGGACTAAAGACTGTTATGCTCTCTGCCGACAGCAACGATGTAGACATTGTGGGCAACAGCATGAGATATAGCCTATTCACACCAAACAACTGGATCAACACTAATAGCAGCAGCAGCAACAGCAACAACGGCAGAACCTCATATAGCTACAAGGCCCCCATAGGTGACATCAAGCTCGATCACTCTGTCGAGGTGCTTGCCAACCAATCGACTGCCAAGGCCTACTGCAGCAAGGCTGAGAACACTCTGAGAATGAGGAGCACAAAGGACAGCTTCGTCGATAGGTCCATCACGTTGGGTAAGCTCCTGACAATGCCAGCCGTTGGTGGCGAGGCCAAACGCTTCATCTTTACCAGAGCACAGAGGGAGTACCAGGTGGCCATCGTCGTCATTGGTGACTGTGCATTCACAACCACTCTGGAGACGACCAGTGGCGATATGGAGTACTTTAACAATCTGTTTGACGCCATCGTCTCGAGCTTCCGTGTCAACGAGATTGGTGCTAAGGATGCCGAGGGTGGTGCACTCGAGTACAAGGTCTTTGCCCATCTGATCAAGTCGTTCGTCGTCAATGTGCCCTTGTCCTTCAAGATGTCAGACAAGCTCTCCACCAATGATGCCGTGCTTTTCTACGTCAAGGATCCAGAGATGCCAGTGTTCAGCATGACCTTTGAGGACATGGGATCCATCGTGGCGCAGGAGGACTACAAGCAACTGATTCTCCAGTTCCACAACGAATCGATGCAAGGTGCCAAAATCGTCGCCGATAGACCATCCCGATTGGATCACTACAAGGCCAGCACCGTAGAGATGATGGGATTCGATCCACAAATGGGTAACCATCGTCGTGTCGTGTTCAAATGCTCGGTGGTCCGCCGTCGTTTCGGAGTGCTCTTGTCACTCAGCACCAACAAGACAGAATTTGAGGGTGTGTACAACTCAAGCTTCTTTGTCTTTGATTCATTTAAATTGATATAAACATTCATTCATTCAATCAATCAATTAACATCATCAAGAATCGATTCGATCTTTTCATACGAAGCATCGTGAATCGGCGATGTGTGGTCAACTTTTCAAACAAAAACATGGTCACATTGTCCAAGATTGTGCAATTACCTCATCATCGGCGAAAGACGAGTCGTTTGGGCTGGAATAATTGTTTACGACATACTAATTAATGTGAACAATAAGAATGAAGGTTTTAATTAATGTGATCAGTGACTTCTGTAGTAATAAGATACTGCAGTTGAAGAAGAAATATTAATTGTAAGTTATCATTCAAGCAACTTCATATCAAACTTTGTTGTCATGACTCATTGTTGATTAAACTATCATCAACTCGTGTGTGTTAATTAAATTTATTTTATTTTTATTTACTTTCAAAACCTGGAAACTCTGGAATCACATCAATCTTACCTACCCTGGGTAGGTGTCAACACCAAGCGACACTCTTGTAGTTTTCACTTTCATTATATACTTATAATATTTATCTTTCTTTCCTTTATAATAAATTATCAATATATTAACATAACAAACTAATCATTTATTATTATTAGTTAAATAAGAATGGATCTTTCAAAATTGTTGAATCCTCCAAATCAAGAGACAGATGAAACAAGATCAATTTACAATGGAACTACTATTACAAATAAGTTAACTTTAGAATCACCATTTGTCGAGTCATTGTCAATTTCAACACTAGAGCTATCCTCCCCTTTATATATTTCACCAGTATCACCTATTTCACCTAGAGTGGACAGTACGACGCCAACAATGTATACGCCGAGATCAACTTCACCTCTATCTTTACAACCTTCAACAGTAGTTCCATTTAATATTAATAATAATAATAATAATATATATCAAGTAGTTCCAAGAAAAGATTTAATCACTCCGCAGAAGAAACATAGAAAGAGTTATGAGGTGTCAAGGAAGCTCGAGATATTGGCAGAGAAGGACAAACATGGACTTGCTTATGTAGTAGCTACCTATGGAATCTCAAGAAGTATAATTTCCAGGTGGCAAACAAATATAGACAAGTACAGGCAGTTTGAAAAGAAGGGTCTAAAGAAATTACACCGAGGACCAAAGTCATCTTTCAGTTTAATCGAGGAGCAAATTATCATTGATCGTCTAGAGGAGATGAGGTCTGCAAACCAATCTGACTTTGTGGGCAGTGATGCAATCAAAAGTGTCGCTCTTCAGTTATCTACTGAGATTGGAAACAACAATTTCAAAGCTTCGTCAGGTTGGCTGGAGAACTTTAAGCAAAGGCATCATCTTAGGTGAAACAATCAAGGTGATAATAAATTTTAAAGAGTAAGGAGAATTATAATCATAATGTTAGAAAGGATCAATGCCCCAGGGCTACATAAAGATAAAATTACATTGATAGTTGATTAATTAATGGGATAGTGGGTTTAACACTTTTGTGGCAATCCAAACCTTTGATTAAAATCAAACGTCGTCAAGTTATAATTGCCTGTCATCAGTTATACACACCTTTGAGTCGTGTCATCTACTCTGAAATAATTATGTGTGATTGCCATTATTTATGTGTGTGTGTGTGTGTGTGTGTGTGTGTTTGATTGTGTATGTGTGTGTTTGATTGTGTATTTGTGATCTGTGTGTGTGTTTGTTTGTGAGTATGATTGTGTGTATGTTTAATTTATAGAATGATAGTTAGTTGACACAATGTTACCTTTTTAGATTCCATTGCCGTTCCATCCCCAGTGGCTTAATTATAAACAATCACTAGTGATCACCATTATCAACTCCATCATTCTCATTAAATATATAAAGGCCAATCTTTGTTGAATTCAAATATATTTATTTATAATTATTATCCAATTAATTAGGAATCAAGAAACAGAGTTATTCAATAACAAACAATGAATATTTTAAATATCAAATCATTATCGTTAATATTATTAGTGTTTAGCAGTACCGCCTACTCTCAAAATGGTTTATCACCTTGTGGAGTATGTATTCAGCTTTCTCTTTTTGATTTTTAAATAGTTGAACCAATATTAAACAAATTATTATCTCCACTTCTAGGTTGCATCTGCTATATGGAATGCTCAATACTCGAGTTGGTCCGATGGACAAGGTGCCTGTACGTTACCAAAGCCTACTGATATAGGTGTAGCCGGACTGAACACCAACTACTTCTCAAAACTAACTGGATCTGGAATGTGTGGCGCTTGTTTCAACTTAACTGGCCCTGCTGGATCCACAATTGTTAAGGTTGTTGACAGTTGTAACTCAGTGGACCTTTGTCTTCAGACTCAACATGCTCATTTTATCGTATCACCAGAGGACTATTTCAAGATCAATGGTGAGAATAAGGCCACTATGTATAACGTTGGCTATCAACTCGTCACCTGCCCAGCCCTTGATGACTTCAAAGTTACCTTGAGCGGTGCCACCGATACCAATGATTTCACTTACTACTTCAGCGCCACAATCAGTGGTTTCACCGTCCCAATCAAGACTGTTGAGGTCACTGTAGGTGGGGTCTACTCATCGATGAAGTACCAAGGTGGAATATGGGTCTGGAACAAAGTTAACACAGGATTTACCTTTCCCTCAACAATGAGGATAACAACTCAAACAATGCAACAAATTCTGTTCTCTGCTCAATCCGGCTCAAGAGTTCTTCCAAACTTTAATCAGACAGCAATCCAGGACACCTGCCCCATGCCAGTAACACCTACCTACATCTACCAGAATGCCCTTGCAGCAGGTTGGGTCGATGGAAGTTGGTTCGCAGTGGAGAGCAATCTAAAGGACCACACAATATCATCAGGAGCTAACATTCTAAAGGGACTATCACCATGGGGAGGAGTCAAGTTGATCAACGCAGAGCAGTTCTCCACAGTTGGTCTAAAGTACTTGGTATTCGACGCCTTGTCAAACATTTCCAATGCCCAAGTGACAATCTTCTTCCAGGGTGACCACAACTCTACCGTTGTTTTGGAGTCTGAAACATTTGCCTCGTACAACGTCTCTGTCAAGGATCTGATTGTGTCTACTGATGACCTTGTTAACTCAATATCTTTCCAGAACAACCAGCCCACATCCATCAAGCTCCTTCTGGCCAACATCAGATGGGTATATGAGACCAATGTTACAGTTCCTCCAGGAGTAGTGACTATCCCCGTGATCAAACCATCTACCTCTACTACCGCTGGTTCGACCTCTGGATCAGCAGGAGCAACTACCACAGCTGACATTACTACTGCGTCGACCACTGCCTCAATGACCACAACTACTGGTGATGTAGAGGGATCCAATCCAAGTGGATCATCACAAGAGGGATCTTCTTCTGGACATCACTTGTCCCCTGTTGCTTTATTGTGGATGGTATCAATGTTGTTGACATCAGCATTGATGTAATCAATCAAATACGACTACCTTGTACACATCGTCCGATTAATAAATACTAAATGTTAATTATATTTAAAACAAGTTGTAGTTTGTTGTTGATTGATTGTTAACACTCTCTTCCTTTATTTGTGAGTGGTATGTGTGTGTTGTGATGTCTATGTCTTTATGATTGATGTTGTGGATGGTGGGTGGTGAATAACATGTTGTCTTAGAGTACGATATTCGAAGCGAGTGATGTAAGATCATTTCCTCTTTAGAGAGATGGATGTTACTCACCCACTTGTGATGGTGGATTATGGATGATGATGATGAGGTTTGAAGGATGATGATGCATGTCCTTGGTCATCGCTGACTTGTGTGATGTGTACAAGTATTGTCATATTTTTAAACAATCACTAACCAATAATTATTAATTAATAAATTAATATAAACAAATTAGAATGATATATAGTAATAATAGAAAATATATATGTATATTATTTTTTTGTATATTTATTATCCAATCATTTATTCAACCAGTAATATCATCTGATCCAGTAGCACTAAGTCCTTGTGGTGTAAGTTTAACAGTTTAATAACACCTTGAAATTATTAGTACTAATATAATTTACACAGTCTGGATCTGCTAAACCAACATTACAACTACCCAAAGGACAATGTAACCTTCCAGCACCAACTCAAATGAGTGTTGCTGCAGTTGGAATAGGATTCTACTCTGGTGGAAAGAGATGTGGTGAATGTTATAGAGTGGCAGGACCAAAAGGATCACTTATTGTTATGATCATTGATGTTTGCAACCAAGGAGAGGAGTGCTATCAGACAGATAGAGCTCACTTTATGTTGTTGAACACTGACTTTTATCGAATAGCTCCGACCAACCAGACATTGGAGATCTACTCTTTAGCCTATCAACAAGTTAGTTGTGAGCATGAGGGTAATATCAATGCCACATTCAATGGAGGAGGAGATGGACACACAGACTTTGCCTACTACTTTAGAGTTTCTCTCTACGGAATGACTGTCGGAATAAGGACACTTCAAGTGATGGGACTAGGCATGACAGGATTCCAAAAGATGAAATATGAGAATGGAGGCTTCACTTGGAACAAACTAGATGAGTCTGTCAAGTTTATCTTCCCTGGCACATTGCTAATCACATCATTTGACAACGAGACCGTCACCTATGAGTTTGACAAGGTTGTGCCATTCAAGGTCTATGACACTCACAAACAATTCACACCAATACCCTCAATAGACAACTCATCAACAGAGTGTGTCATGGGACTGGTTCAACAATATATCTACGATGACCATGTACTCTTTGGATGGGACTCCTACAATAGTTTCAACTTCTCAGAGTACACAGTGGCCGATACATCAGATCCATTCAGTGGTTTATCTTGTATAAGGATAACTTTGAATCCAAGAGGTGGACTTACATTCAGTCGAGATGGTGGCTTTGCAACCAAGTACCTTCAGAGCATCTCCTTCGCAGCAAGGTCCACAGAGTCATCGACGGTCCGAGTGTTCTTTGGCCGCTTTGGAGGATATGTACTCTCGTCCAAACTGAACTCACAATGGCAGAACTTCCATATACCAGTCAGAGATCTAGATCCTTCAGCAATCGAGTACATGATAACGTTCTACAACAACCAAGACCGTCAGATTACCTTCTACTTTGATAACTTCAAGTGGGACTTTACCAATGATTCACCGTATGAGCCATCTGTCAATATAGACACGACATCATTCAATCCGACAACAACATCCGGCTCTGCATTGAACCCTGCAACGACAAAGGCTGAGCTACCAACAAGTTTGGGTGATTTGTTCCCTACCACCACTGGTGGAGGCAGTAGTAACACTGGTGGTACAGGAACAGTTACCGACGGCACTCCTTCGACACTGGACATTTCTGACGATGTTACGTCCACCACTGCTGGCAAGACTATGACCACAGGCAAACATGGCAAGCTAAGCAAGACAGGTGGTATGACTTCATCTGATGCTACAGGTAGCAAAGTAATTGGGAATCAGTCCTATTTTAATAGTTTAGTAATGGTTGTAACTGTGTTGGTATTATCAACCATTTAATAATAAATTCAACCAATAGAACATTGAAGAAGCCATAGGAACGAAGACCTACACGAAAAGTAATAACCAAAATATCAAGGCCTATCTTTTGAAAAACACATCATTGTGATCGAAAGAGTAGTTGTAAAAACATTATTATTAGATACACATATCGGAGTAGAGGAGGATGTCATCGACAGCAGCAGCAGCAGCAGAGTATACCGAGGTCATTGACAAGGATGATGAGGAGCTAGCTCAAGACCAATCTACAATTGATCAACATCTCGATGATGAGATTGCTGATACTGTATTGTTGACTTCAAATGTTGACAACAACAATATTGATGATGATGACGAGGAGCACCATTACCTACAAGAACAGCAAGATGACCCTGAAGACTTGCCCCCATCCATCAAGAATAACATGGCAGCCATCAGGAGAAAGACAATCAAATCAGAGATTGGCTCAACCATTTCAAAGATCACCTCTGTCAAGAAAGAGGACCTGAAGCTCGAGTGAGTAAAAGTAGTCATCAGTCTGATCGTAGTCACTAGGAACTAACTTACACACACATAGCACTGGAAAGTACATTAAGAGCATTATTTATGGAGGAATGGATGGACTTGTCAGCATATTCGTCAGTGTCGCTGTGGTTGCCACTGGTCACGACAAGATTATGGTGCTTCTGGTCATTGCACTCGCCAAGCTCGTTGCTGGTGCCATATCAATGGGAATGGGTGACTATCTTGGAACACAGGCAGATGTCGACTTTGCAAAGGGAGAGAGAATGAGAGAGGAGTGGGAGGTCGAGTACTATCCAGAAGGTGAAAAGAAAGAGATGGTCGAAATCTATGTCTCGAAGGGCATACCAGTCGAAGTGGCAACAGAGGTTGTCGACATCCTGGCCAAGAACAAGAAGGGCTTTGTAGATATAATGATGGTGGAGGAGTTGGGTATCATGCCCGACAGTGAGCAAGAGGTTGCTTGGAAGAATGGTATGTTTTATTATTCAACCAAACAAGTTGTTTAATGATGAATGAATCCTAACATATCTCATCCCTTCTAATAGGCCTCATCAACTTTATTTCCTTCACAATTTTCGGTATCATCCCAATCTTCCCTTATCTGGTATTCTTGATTGTAGCTAAAGTCAACAACATCAGCTTGGCACATGGAAACACACCAACATTCGTTGTTGTCATTGCACTGACTGTTGTCACTCTGTTTCTCATGGGAGTGTTCCAGGCCAAGTCCACTGGAGCATCATGGATTTGGAAAGGGTAAGTTCATGAACACCTATATATATATAGATCTTCGAGTAGTATCACTAACACATTTGATTATATCATTACCTTTGTCTAGTCTTATCACTGTAATTCTTGGTGTGATTGGTGCATTCACTGGATTTGCTACTGTGGAGATTGTCAGACTTATTGATCCATCGATCAATATCAATGGTTGATGATGATTGCGACGACGAACATCAACACTCTCACCAAACACCAATAACATATATTTAAATAATTGTGTCTACTAGGTTTATAATGCATTCTTGTTGATGTCACCTGGAGATACGTTTAGGTGAAGTGATTCTCCTCCATTGACTGGAACTTGGTTTGGTTGTTGTTGTTGTTGTTGTTGTTGTTGTTGTTGTTGTTGTTGTGGTTGTGGTTATCCTTGATTGTCATTCTCTGATGTAGGCTGAACAGTACTTTGTGGTTGTTGTTGAGTTTGTCCATGGGTTGGGTCTATGGTCAAAGAAGAGAAGAAGAAGAAGAAGAAGAAGAAAAGTATAATGTTAGCCTCTAATATGATGGACCACCAGGTTCTTTAGACACTTACCAACTCTCGAGAGAACATCCTCCCTAATCTTTGGACAAAAGTCATCGATGGCAGCCCATGTCAACTCCCAAAGCTTGACAAAAGCCTCGGGCTGTGAAGCGTCTGGTGCTTTGAAGACACCAGAGTTGTTCATGACCAATAACATGTTCTTGAGGGACTCTGGAACAGACTCTGACAGCACCTCAGAGAGTCCCATGTAGGTTCTCAGGTACACCAGAATCTCTGACCAGAGTTTGATAAAGTCATTCAGCTGAATGATCGTGTTGAGGTTCTGAAGGAACACTTTGGAGAGCAAAGCTGAAGCTCGAAGACGGGTATCCTCAAAGTTTGTCTCTCTTGCATTCTCCTTTAGGCTACTCAGTAATGGGAAGATTATCTATAATGGGTGTAAGAATGACAGATATCAGTTGATGTGGATCGTCAAGAGACTATAACGATGTTGTGGCCCTACCTCAACAAAACAGTTGAACCATATTTGAGGTGACAAAACATCCAGGCTGGTTGAGAGAATGCACTTTTGGAGATAGTTCATGGCATTGTTCCTAACGTTTGGGCGGGGATCGACACAAAGTTTGGACAAGGTTTGAAGTATCTTGGACCAATAGTTATCCCAAGCTGGTGGTGATATTTGTGTGAAGTGAGTATGTGTTCCATGCGATATGTCAATGATTAATAAACACTTACAATCTGATATTCTCTGCTCATTCTTTCTCCTTTGGACCTTCTCGGCCAAAGTAAGCTCTTGATGTGGCGAGGTAATGGGATTGAAGTTGGAGATTTGATTCAGTTCAGTGATCTTGATGAAGATGATGTACAGCAGCTCCATTGCTTTGACTGTGACGGTTGGGGGAATGGCGTTCGAGGTGACAAAACAATTGATTGCCGTTAGGCACTGTTTACAGCTGTTGAGGCTGAGTGAACCCTGTTGGATCATCAAAGAGAGTGCTTCACATGCCCGACTGGAGGCTTTTGGATTGCCAGACAGTAGAACGATGATGCTGATGATGGGCTCCCAACTCTTGTGGTTGGAGGCTAGGAACTTGAGTTGCTCTTGCACCAGCTGTACCAGTGCGACCGACATCTTCTCAGCGATTGAGTCAAACACTGGATTCACCTTGAGTATAAGCTCCACCAGTGCTTTGAGTGAACTTGTGACCTCGGGCCTGTCCAACAGGCGAATGAGCAAATACATCAATGATGTCACTGTCTTCTCAATGTATGGAGTCAACGTGCTCGATGCTTCGCAAAGGTGTATCATTGACTCGATGTGCTTGACAAGTCCTGGCCATACCACATTGAGTCGGTCCACATTGAAGAGTACGACATGAGTCAGCAGGTCCATACAGAACATCGCCTGTTGTTTGTTGGTCTTTGGTGTAATGTTTTGATAGAGAACTTGAAGTAAATGCTCAAGTGATGATGTTGATATGTTCCTATGGTTGGAGTAGGTAAGGTCGTCAGTAGGATGACAACATGTATGATGTTAATCAAACTCTCTGGTCTACTTACTTTGTCTCTACAAATAGATCTTTTATATTACAGTTCTCGATACATATCTTGGCCTTTTGCTCAATCTCTGATTCCTCTGTCTCTATCTCTGTATCTGAAACAGTGGCGAACCAACTCAATAGAGATGATGTCTTTTGAGTGTTCTGTTTCTCGTTGGCTACAATGATAAGATAGATATTAGAGTCAATGTATATTGATGCTAATGTATGCGACATAACTTACACTTTTCTGTGGGCTTTGAAACCTCAACAGGGAAATCGATCACCTCAAATATGGTCGGAAGCAGGTCTAGCTTGTTCATTCGACATATGATACCAATGAGATTCTTCCATGACTCTCCCAGGTGGCTGGAATACTTCATTGCGATCTCAAATGTTGTGATTGTTGCCAGCTGTGCCTTGTTATCTCCAATAAACACTGGCTGGTTGTTGCCAACGACACCTTCCTTTTCGGTCAATGTTGTATTGTTACATAGTGAGTTCTGTGATGTATTTGGTTTGGTGTGTAAGGATGATGAGTGTTCCATTCCAACACATTGTTCAGGGGAAAACATGTTTACATACCATGAGGTTGTCTATGGTTTCGTTGATGTTGTTGTTGGCTGACACCTGGGCGCAGAGGTGGAATCCATCCAACACTCTTTGGCTAAGGGAATCACTCTCTATCTTCTCAAACACTACACAGTTTATGTTTAGTTAGTGTCATCATAAATCGGTGGGTAAGCGATATCTCACTTACCATTGGATATTGCTGGAATGACAAAGTTCAATATAATTGGGAATATTTCCTTATCATACTCGTTGGAATCAATGGTGTGATACTCTCCCATTCTCCTGGACCTGTTGTTGACATTATTATTAAGTGAGTTAGTTGTTCCTTATGACATGTTTTGCCTCCACAACATACTTTTTCAAAGTGTATCTCCATGATGCATTGGTGATTGTTCCTGGAGAGGATGAGTCCTCATCAGTGAAAAGCTCTGAGCTGGACATCTCCTGATACATTGCTCTGATCAGATCATCACTGTAGGTGGGTTTGAGCATCTTCTCAAATGATTGGAATGTCATCCTGTCTCTGGCCTGTTTTGACAAGTTGTAGTGAGTGACCAATTGTGTGTCAATGGTTGGCTAGCTTAGCATCTAACAACTTACTGTGACATTTTGGTTGAATGTGGAAGTGTGCAGCATGAGACCGGAATAGAGGTAGACACAAATTTGATCGGCATCCTTGAAGGTGTTGTCTCCCCTCTCTACCAGTTGAGCATAGGCCTTGCTTGCAAACATATCAAATGTGAACTCTACGACGGCGGCCTCTCCAGAGATCTTGAAGCTCTCAAGAAAGTTCCTGAACGATAACATGAATGATGGGTACTTCTCATTGAAGTAGTTCATGTACGAGGAAAGTACCTCATTGTTTGATCTCTTTCCAAGGTATTCACCCACCTTGACCTTGTTGAGCTTTGGTGTCTCCAGTAGGAACTTGGCAATATTGGTTGCGTTCATCACTGGATATATATTGTTCTCTGTGGTGTCATGATCGAAAAGAAACTGGTGAGTGATCTCAAACTAGAGAATACATATTTGAAGCTTAAAATACAATACCTATGAGATAGTCGAATGCATCGTTTGGACGTCGGTTAAAGTGCTCGGCAGCAACAAGCATCTGTTGCTTATACTTCTTTCTGTGCATATGCTCGAGTTGATGAGCCACTGGATGAAGAGAGTGTTGAATATACTTGGGATACTTGGAACGATCGTCTATTGACTGGACGATGGACAACAGGTTCTCTAGAGAGAGCATATGCAATGTGTTCAATTGGCCAGACAATGGGAAGGAATGCTTGTAGAGTGTCTTGCACAACAGCTCAAACACATTGCCACTGTATAGTTCGCAGTCATAGTTGATGAACAACTCCACCATGGCCAATGGAAGTTTACAGAAATCTCGCAGTCCTTCGAGTGCCAGCTCCTGTAGCTCAAACATGTGTCTGTTGTCCACGATCGATTTGAGCAACACGTGGAAGAACTCTTCAAACTGTGCCTTTAGATTTTGTCGCAGGGCAACAAACAGGTTGAAAAAGATCCTCATCGTCAGTGAGAATACTGGAATGTTTCTCGCTTGGAGATTCTGGAATGATCATGTTAGTGATCAATGTCATAAGAAGCCTACCTTGCCTTAAGATACCTACGAGCAATAATAGCTTCAAGAGTTTGTCTTTGATGATGGCCAAAATGTCTTGTGTTGCTTCCAGTTGTTGGCCCTTCATCTGGACGATGATGTTGATTGTGTTCAAGGAAAGCAATCTGATCATATCATTATCTATTGTCGCTGGATTGATGTTGCCCACAAAGAATGAGAAGATCTTTGTCAGTACTGTTTCATCGTAGGGCTTGTCTGTTGTTGGTTATAAATGTTAGGTATTAGTTAGCAATAGAACGTCAGGGGGGAAGAGGAATGTTAACACACCTCCATCTAGAATGCTCTGATCAGATAACTTTGGGTTGACAACGATAGTCTTTGGGTTTGGAGGTGGACTGACTGTTGGATTCGAGACAGAGAGAGGTGTATGTGCCAGAGGTGTCAAAGAGTTGGTTGGTAAAGAATAATGATGTGTAGATCCAGTATGATGATGATGATGATTGCCTGTCGGAACAATGGGCGATGATGATTCTGACACTGATTGTTGCGTAGCTCTTGGTATTGGTTTAGGGCTTGATGTCGTCATAGAGTTATTGTTGTTGTTGTTGGAACTGTTATTGGTACTGCTGCTGCTGCTGTTTTCTTTGCTTTGATCATTCGAGTCATTTTCAGCTGGTAGGTTGCTAAAGAAAAGGTCATTATTTGGTGAGAACTGTTGTTGATGTGATTCTTCGATTCTCAGACCATTGACTCTGTTGTCCGATGGTGGAACATCGTCGTCGTCGGTGAAGCCACTGATGATACCATCAATGTCGCCTGAGCTGGAGATATCAACAGAGTGATCCTGCTCAATGATGGATGGAGGAGGGGGTGGTGGAGGCGTTGGAGGAGCAGTAAACACGTTGTAGTGTTGAAAGACAGTGACGACGATATCTTGAAGTGCGCTTTCGGCTGTCTTTTTCAAGAGTTCTGATGAGCGAGGTCGATCGGTCATCAAATAGCATGTATGCATCGTCTCGTAGATCAGTTCGTTCGAAAGGTAAATGCCTGCTGTGTTTCTCACACAGGATGACAGCACCTGACATATCTTCATCAACACGACCTCATCACTCCTTGAGTCAGTCTCTTCGAATCGGCAATGTGATACTGACTCTGCTATCAATCTTATTGCCTTTGGAGCATTGATTGACTCTGTATCTATGATTGTGTAACTCTAGTGTTAACGACATGTTCTATAGTGTCCAACTCATACTATATCGACGTGACTCCAATGCATGCCTACCTATGAACTGTGTAAGAAATTTGTTTACAGAGGTCAAAGCAGTGCCAGTGATAGGACCGCTTGTCTCTGCTGATCGTATAACCAATAGGAATGGCTCTAAATAGGTGCAAGTATCGAATCTACCAAAGTCTGTATCGGTGGTATAAGTAAGATAGCATACGTAGACGTCTAGGTTGATGGTAAAAGATATAGTACCTGATTCATTGTGAAGTATGTTGGCCAAGTTCTTTAGTGATCGGAGAATAGCATTCTCTGGCACCAAGGACTGATACTGGTTAGACCATCTTGAATTGAGCTTGAGATGAGATAGCAGGCCGTAGACCTCTCCCTGAATAATGTAAATCGGATTGACAGCTGGCATTGCTTATCCTATGACAGCACTACCTTCTGTTCTTATATATATTCTTATGTTGTTGTTACTGTATCAACCAATATATATATATATATATATAAGTAAGTTGATATAAGTTATATGTATATATAATGAGCTCTAGAAGATAAAGTGCGGAGTGTGATGATGAAGAGGTTGTTGTTCACCAGTGTCCGACTCAAAAAAAGATTGCTGACTCTGTGTTGACCACAACAGCATTACAAAGTCATCAATAGTGTTGGAGTAGTGATAGATAGATAGATAGAAGCTTTATTTATATTTAGACTAGTAGACAGAAGGTTGTAGATTCTTCTTATGGTCAATGATGGACGAGGCAGTGAGGCTGGGACGCACGTTGTGCTGTGGAGCAGCAGCAGAGTCGTCAATATGATGGGTGAGGTGGTGCAATGAAGGGAGCATCGTCGAAGATGTTGAGGGGGACTCGGCCAAGCCAGGATGGTTGTCATGCGGTGTTGGATGGTAGGACGATGACCTAGCCCTGGTCAAGTACGAAGGAGAGGATGAATTTACATTAGGATTCGAAATACTGAGGAATGGCTGGTTGTTCGACTTGGACACACTGTCATTGCTGCTCCTATTCTTGTTGTTGTCAGTGCTGCTGTCACTGTTGTTTGTTGGTACTTTCTGTATTGATGGGGATGATGAGGAAGATGAAGAAGATGATGAGGTGGATGATGTTGAGGTTGTTTGTTGTTGTTGTTGTTGTTGTTGTTGCTTATTGATACAGTGATTCATCTTGTTCATTCCGATTATGATCTCATGTGGACGAGAGTAGTGTGTTGATGGCTTGGACGATGAGGATGGTGAGAAGGTTGGTGTGCTGTTCTTCTCACTGATAATCGTCATGATCTCGTCGATGCGCTGCTGGAGAAGGTCATTGTGGACAGAGAGCTTTCTGTACATGCTGTCCAGCTCCTCGATGTGTGTGGTGGTATCGAATTGCTGTCGAGTCATCTGATTTACCGTCTGACGCAACTCATGAGTTACCAAGTGCAACTCTTGGGCCTTGCCTTCAAGACTGGTTATGTACTCCTTCTTTCTGTGTCTGGACAGTGCAGCAGACTGTCTATTCTTCAATAGACGTACCTGTCTCTTCTTTACTTTGTCCTCTTCGTGTCCATGATCATTTTTACCAAGCTGATAGGCAGTTAATTAGAATTACTCCTTTACTAATCCACATCTGTCAACACACACAAACATACCTTGAACTCTTGGTCCATATCATGCAATGGAGGTAACTCTGGGCTATACATGATGTCTGTAATGTACTTTAGTCTGTCTGTCTGTCTCGTTGGTCTTTCAAATGTATGAGTGTTTACGTGTGTGATATAAAAGTGTATGTCAACCTATGATAAATAAATAAATATTTAGTTAGTATTAGTTGTAGGTAGTTTACGGGTTTGGAATAACAGTCAACAATGTTATGTGGATGGATGGGTTTTTGGTTGTTTGTTGTTGTTGTTTGATGATGTTGTTGTTGTTGTTGTTGTTGTTATAATACATCATTGTTGCTATTGTTATTGGGGATGTAGCTGATGTGGATTCTGTGGCGGTTGGATTGTGATTGTGCGTGACACACTAGTGATCACGATCGTGATCACACACACATCAATAAAGTGAGATCAAGAGAGTTATTATTATTATTTGGGTGTGGGTGGTGTGTGTGTGTTTCACAATGAGGCAATCAAATTGATGTACACAAGTGTATGATGATTGGGTGACAGGACTTATGTTGTCATCCGCAGATAGTAATGTTTGTTATTGTGTCGACATCAGTCTGTGTGTAAAAGTGTTTAAGTACCTGTGTGATTAAATGTGTGTGTGTGTATTTGCTTGTTGTTATTGCTACTACTATTAGAGAATAAATAAAATCTTTCGTTGTTTTTGGTTTCTCTCTCCTCCTCAAAGGTCCCAGGTCAAACAAAGTGTTGTTGGTGACGTATTGATCAAACCTTGATCATTGAAAATAGAAAAAAAAAGAATTGATCGTAGTTCGTTCGTTGAAAATTGGTTTATTAGCTGTCCATCTGTTCCCAAAGTTTGTTGGTGGTCTCGTATGGATCATCAACAACAGGATCAATGATAAACCTTGATATTCCACCTTTTGTTGGCTTTGAGAATATGGCAGTGATTATATTGGAGCGATCGATATCCATGTCGTCATTTCCATGTGTGTCCCATCTGATGAATCCGATCGATAAATACAATGCCAATATTTGTCTGTCAACAAAAACAACAACATTGCAGATAATATTCATTAGTCTGTGCACCAAACATTGCTACTCACAAACACAACACTGCTGTTTCTTCTCTTACTCTTTGTATGGTATAAGGATTGACTTTTGTTTCTCCAAGAATGACTCTCTGTCCTTCAAGGTTGTCAATTGCTCGTTGCTCATTGACAGGTTTCGTTTCAAGTCTCTACTCATTATTATAGTTAGTCAATCTCTATCTATCTATCTATCTATCTATCTATCTATCTATCTCACCATTCGAAGAACTTTGTGATGATAACATTACATTATTTCATTCTCCAGTCTCTGGATGTTGAGCTCTATTGCTCTTGCTTGATCTTGGTATCGCCTCAACTTTGATGAATGCTCCTCCTCAGAGTCCTCTCGCTTCATCTCCCTCTCAAAGTCAATGAGTCGTTGTGTGAGATCTTTGATGACAATGTCCAGCTGTGATTGCTGGTTGTGGAAGTTGTTGGTGATTGACGCATGTATATCCTGTGCATGTTGAATGTTGGCAACCTCTGAGTTCTGTACGAATAAGTTGGTTGTTAACTCTATCAGTGATAATATTTCATTTGTATCAACGTGTGCCATTTGTATCTGTATTTGGTATTTGTATCTGTATCTATATATTAACATGTAAATGATAAAGTGTCTATTTCAAATTTGGTTCAAAACAAAAAAGAGCGCCAATTTCAAATACTTGTACTACTCAACAAAATCGATAATGAAGAGTACTAACGATCATACTATTGATAATCTCAAAAGAGACTTGGATACAACTAATCATAAGAAGAAGTAGATATCATGACAATCACCAACAATAATGTAGATGTGTCTTACTACACAACAGGACTTAGCAACACGATCACTATGTTGTTGAACAATGACGAGTGTAGGTTCTCTCTCTGGACGACATAGCATTGCTCTTGCTCTTGTTGTTGTTGTTGTTGTTGTTGTTGTTGTTGTTGTTGACTTATAACCTAATCTGACATCTTAATAACAAAAGACATTCAGAATGAAAGTGCCTGCAAGATGATTCTCTATCTCTCCAACATGGACTATATGCCTCCAGAGTAAGTTGGTGACAATAGAGTTGACTCTACCTGCAACAGCCACACAAACAACAGCAACTCTGACACATTAATCTCTTACTACCTTTGTAGAGATACAACAAAGACAATGTTGAGTATACTACAAACGACCAAACAAAAGACACTGGTCAACTACATCATTGCAGTGTTCCATCGACTCTTTGAGCAGCACCAGTTCTGTATCAGCATCAGTGGTGAATTGATCATGTCAGTATTGGACTCCTTGGACCACTACTACAACAACATGACACCAGAGGTATTGTAATCAACCAATTTCCCGTTGAATGATACCTGCTTCTTGGACATCAAACAAACTGACCAAACTATCTATCCTTTTGAATGTCCAGGACGATATTATACCAATTTATAACTGCATCTCATTGCTCAACTACACAACTATGATACTGCAAGGAAAGATATATGGTAAGTTATTATTATTATTGATACCATTCAGCAATCATTGTCTTATACTCTCCAAAATCAACATAGATAATCCAATCGAAGAAATTGCCAAACGAAACACCAAAGACAAGTTCATACAATGCCTGTTCCACATCATTGGAAAGTGTGACCTGGAGGTGTTCAAGAACGTTCTCAAGTTGTTCACGATCGTATGTCTAGCTACTACTTATACTTGAATCACTACATGTACTTACAAATGGATACACTCTATCTTGATTTGGCTCAATACAGGTGTACACAGTATTGAGACCATTTGAATTGAACGAAGGTATCACTCCACTGTTTAGCAACAACTTTAGAAAGTTGGAGGACTCGAGAAAGATATTGTTTGTCCAATTGATGGAGAGAGGCGAGGTCAAGAACAAGATACTGGAGATCATTCTCAAGGACATTTCAAACAGGCGCAATGCTCCAAAGAACAAGGATACACAGGAGTATGCTCTGAGCAGACTGATAGATTACTACTTCCGATGCAATGCGAGACAAGACTTCCACACAAAGGATGACACTAGAAGCCCTCACACAGTGTTTGTCGTCGTGATAACTCAGTTGCTTCAGTCCATCCTATTCACAAAATCACATGCGCCCTCTCAAGACTGGGGAAAGGCATTGTCAGAGGCACAGGAGTTTGGCCAGGCGATGAGGAAGGATGCAACATCTTCAAACTCTACCTTGATTGAAACGAATCTGATGATTCTGGAGCAAGCAATAGAGAGCAAACAACTAAATACTGATTAATAATTGCAGACAAGACATTTATTCAAAGACCATGCTACTACTACGCTCATATCTGTTGCACTAACCATATCTTCAACTCCTCAATCTCTCTTTCAGTGTCTGGCAATATTGTTTTGACCTTGTCCAGAGCTTCTAGCACTCCAAGTTCGTTGTATCTGATTCCAACCAGGTTCTCTGATAGCAGCTCTATCATCAAGGGATTCAAAGAGTCTGAGTATATCTTGCAACTCTCCACAATGCCACGATTGCAATTGAAATTAATGTCCACAGTGCCCCAATCGAATCTGTGCTCCAATTGATGGTCAAAGGATGGCGTGGAACCATAGCGCCACTCCCAGCTGGAGAGTACATCGTACACCTCTTTCAGAGCTGGAATCTTTTGTAGATCTGATCGACTGAGTTCTTCCACGTCGCATCTCTTTCCATAGCATCTAAAGAAGCTATCCATCACTGATTGACACCATTGTTCATGTGTGATGTGTGGCACCAGTGTCTTTAGGTTGCACACACGACTGATTACACTGGTGATGCCCTTTGACCTTAGCTTCTCCTTGTTGGGATTAAGATAGCGTTGCAATGCGTTCAGGTCAAGATCAAGAAGCATGGTGCCGTGGTGGAAAGAACGTGGTCCTGATTGTTTGAAGGCTGCACCTGAAACCTTCTTGCCATCCACGACCAAGTCATTCCTACCTGAAAGCTCTGCTCTCACTCCAAACTTTCGTAGAGAGTCGATCAATATATCAGAGTTCCTTGCCTTATCATACTGGTTGGTCGGTGACAAGAAGGTGTAGATTGAGTTGCCCATGTCCTGGTATACTGCGCCTCCTCCAGAGTATCGTCTGCAAAGTGTAACACCATCCTTCTCCATTTGCTGAAGATGACACTCTTTGAAGGGGTTTTGATGTCTTCCAATGATACACTTGACAAGTATACCAGTTGATGTCAGATGCAAGATCAACAGCCAACATCTACATTTGATGTGTGACATTATACATACGGTTGGGGCATTCCTCCAGAGGAAGAGTGTCTGAGCGTTAAGATCAAATGTCTTAAACAACCAATCCTCTGTGGCAATGTTGAACAAAGGATCGTTGGTCGTGGACATATATACTTTAACTTTCTCTGGGGATACATGCAAGTTGTGTCCAGAGACAGACGATGAACTGATCGTTGTTGATGCTATAGATGTTGAGTAATATCTGTTGTTGATATTATTTGATAGTACCTTTAGACATCTAAGTTTGTTCATTTTATAGGTATGTAGATAGAGAGAGACAGAGAGAATGAAGATGATACATTCGATTTATAGAAGTACACTGCTGATGTTCATTTGAATTGTGTTGAATTTCCGTTGTAGTAGTTGTTCGTATCATCGTCCTGTTTTGGTTCATCGTCGTGATTCTGCAGTTGGTGATACTTGTTCCTTCTCTTTACAGCATTCTCTTCCTTCTTTGGCTCCTTGCTCCGCTTATTGTTATCATCATTGTTGGGTCCATCAGTCGAGAGTGTGTGAATGCCTCTCGAGTTTGGTCTGGTGTTGGTGGTTGATGTAGTTGATGTAGTGGATGTAGTGGATGTAGTTGGCCCAGTACCAGCAGGTGGATACCAGGACGATGGAGAAAACCATGATGATACGTATCCTTTGACACTTTCAAAATAGCCTCCATTGTTATCGTTGTTGCTGCTGCTGCTGCTGCTGCTGCTGCCACTACCATATCGAGTGTTTTGATCCATTGAGACAGAACTGGTTGGTGGTGGCAATGCTTTGGCTGTTGGGTCCAACGATGATAGGGTGATTGTAGCTGATGGAACCAAATCCAAGGCACTCAATGACATAATCATATCACTCTCCTGGAATACCTTCTTTGGATGGGTGACCATCATGCAGTATGGATGAGCTCCATCGTTTCGGTTCTACGTTGCGATAGGGCATTAGTCAAAAGTTTCAACAAAGGACATCACAAATATATACATACATTATCTACAAACTTCTTAACCTCCAACAGTCGGTCATTGACTGAGAATGTTGACTTTAGAGGATAACCATTGGTTAGTTTACAAATTATTGTTGTATGTGTTGAAACTATTGTAGGAGAGGTTGGTGCAATGGCTTGTGCAGTAGGTTTGGCCACTGATTTGTTGGGCGTTGGCTTGACCTTTAAAGACTGTTGTTGAGGTGGTGGCTTAGGTTGTGATGGTTTTTGTTGTAGTTGTTTAGGTTGTTTTGGTTGTTGTTGTTGTTGTTGTTGTTGTTGAGCAGTACTCTGTATCATTGACATGATGAGTTGCTGGGAAATAGCTTGTTGCTGTTGTTGAAACAAGAGATGGGCCTGCTTAAAGTCGTCAAGTAATTGTTCCTTCGACCTGTCTCCTGGAGCTCTCAGCAGCACTATGCCATTGAGGCCAATAAACAGTGTTATTGGTACACTTTCATATGCGACTGAGACCAATGGAGGTTGTGTGAGAAGACATGCGAATGGATAGTAGCAATAACAACAACAAAGATTTCATACAGTATTGCTTCAGGTGCTGGGCATCGGGTGATTCATGGTCCACCTTGATCAGAACAGAATGATGGTTAAGCTGTTGTGCAAGCTCTATGTCGTTGGATATTGTATCGACCATCTCTGTATGAGCATTGTGCACGACAATGACAAATAGTAGCGCACCGCTCCTAGCTTTGGCAATAGCTTCTGAAATAGCACCATCAAAGAATGGGCTGTTATTGATTAATGAGTTGGCGTTACTAGTATCGACATTGTCCTCCATCTTGAAGTACTATTTGTTTATAAATATAAATTAAATATATTATGTAATAATAACAAACAATGAAGTGAATCTCAGTAAAAACACTACAAAGCTTCAAAACAGTCAGTTTTGTTTTCAACTCCAGTTATAAAGCATGCTTTATAACTATGACCACCTGATAGCTTGGTGTACATCTGACACCACATCAGTTGGACTTGTCGATTTAAGGACCGAGCAAGTATATTCGAATAGACACGTCAAGAAGTCATGTAATATACCTTTACAACAACTGCCTGTTCGTGTGTTTGAGCTACCACCAAGAGTAAGTATTGTTATTGTTGTTGTTGTTGACGATTCATTTATCACTACCAATCATTCTCATTGACTAATGATCTTTTGCACAGGGTAATAATATAGCCTTGCTCTATCCATACAATGGAGCATTGTTGTCACAACCAACAATTGAAGCTTGCAAAGAACTAGTGGATACTCTTGTCAATCGCTCAGGATATATAGTAGATTTTGTCTGCTATTTGAATGATGACGTTGACACAAGTCTCGGCAATGAAGAAGAGTTGTGGTGCAACGTAGCCAAACATGGTTACCTCGAAGTTGGTCAAGTGTCATCATTTCTTTGGAGGCCATGTTCATATCTAGAGCAATACATCGATCGCATTGAACAACTGCTTCTGAAAGAGAACGACACAAAAGATATATCCACCACATACAGTGCATTGGATCTAGGATGTGGCTCTGGACGCGATGCTCTCTTCTTATGCAAGAGAGACTTTGATTGGAATACAGTGGCTGTCGATCATGATCCTATCCTCCTTTCAAAGATACAATCTGCCCTTGTTCGATATGGAATCGAGAGCACATCTCTGCGTTGTGAGAATATTGATTTAGAGCCTGTATATGTCGATCCAGCTAAACAAGATATGGATTTCACCAACCGTCTCTCCAATGACGGTCAATATTCACTAGTTGAACTGGAGCTTTTGATTTCACTACAAGAGAGACTGCGATCGTTGTCACCATCCAAACATGGCTTCCATTTCATCAACGTCGCACGTTATCTATATCGCCCACTGCTGCCCATCATCGACGAGTTGGTACTACCTGGTGGATTCTTGTTGTTCCACACGTTCATGCTGCCATCCAAGGGCAAACCGAAGCGTCCTCGATACCTGCTCAACTACAACGAACTAAAGTTAAGGTTCTCTCGTAACTTTGATATTGTGGAGTATCAGGAGACTGTACTTGAAGACTCTCGACCTATCCAAATATTGTTGGCAATGAAGAAAAAGAATAATAAATGATTTATATTATATTATTGTTATGATCCATTGTCACCTGGTGACTCCACAATAATATTTATTAATATATATATATTAACGTGATTGCCAATAGAATGGCTTGATTTGGGTGGTCTTGGCTGTTTCGATCACTTGGAGAAGGTTCTTGATATTTGTCCTCCATGCATCAACCCTAAGACCAAGCTGAGTCCATTGAGCCTTGTTAAAGACACGCTGAGTGGAGGAGTTGACGTGAACGAGACGGTTGAGTTGATCGAGCTTGGCATCGATCAGCTCGTTTGCGATAGCATCAATGACCCAAGTCTCGACGTCATTTTCGTCGATTGCGAGTGACTTGGCGATCGCAGAGTAGGGAACGGTTGCATCCTCGCTGGTCAGTGTGGCGATGGACAAGAGACGGATCTTTTGCATGCACTCATCTGGCTTGAGACCAATGTCGGTCAAGAAGTTTGGGTTCCTGGTCTGGAACTGGACGAAGCTTCCCAGCTGCTCGGTGGCAAAGATCTTCATGAGTTCGTAGGTGAGATTGTGCTTGGGGTTGGCCGATGTCTCCAAGAATCTGATTGCCTCCAAGTCCAATAAATAGTCGGATTGATATAGCTCCTGCAATGAGATCGACTCGATACATGCGCGAACAGAGTCCTCCTGTGCCTCAGCAGAGTCCTCTTTGTTAAAGGTATTCAAGTATTTAACCAAATACCTATGTGAGAGCATTCTATTGTTGTTGATGATGAATAATATTGCTTGTTGTTAGTAATCCGATGGTCTTTGGTAATGTTAGACTCCTTACCCATTCTTCTCCTTGAAAATGGTTGAAATCAGTTTATATATCTTCCTTCTATGTGCTGTGGTGGCGGACCAATCATCCAACCAGGTGTCCAGGTTGGTTGTTTGCTGCTTGACAAACTCTAGATTGCCAGAGTCGCTTGCCAGTTTAAATAGTACAAAGAAGATCTCATATCGCTGCGATGACTTTGGTGAGAATGAGTTGAAGAGATTGGTCAACCTAAAGTATGTATGTGTTGTTTTTATGTGTTAGACAATAACATTATAATCAATCAATCAATAAACCAATCAATTGCCTTTGCTGTTGTCGTCCTAAGTATAATCTATCTACTCACAGCTTAATCTTTAGGTTGCTCTTCTCGTTTGGCGAAGCAGACAAACAGTCTCTGATCTTCTGTGCAATGATGTTGATCGCATCGCTCTCCAACTTATGCAAAGCCGTCAAGATGACATTGAAGAAGGACTCGATATCTAGAGAGTAGTTGTGTTGTTGTCGTTGTGTAAGTAAACAGTTGATGATGGGGTGGTTGTTGATCAGTCTGTTGGATCTCTCCAATATTTACCTTTGTCAGACTCCTTGAGCAAGAACTCTGACTCTGAGCTAATCAATCTGGAGAGGAATTCAGGTGCACGTTGCTCGCCCAACAGACGTTGATACTCGGTTGCGTTGAATTCAACTGAACGCTTCTTCTTCAAGTTTGAAACTTGGTTGATGAGGTCAAGGTACAGCTCCTCTGGAGAAGACAAATCGATATATGTTGTCATTTCTGTGTTGGTATAATAAATATATATATCACTGTTGCTGCTGTTGGTACTGACTATGTTGAGTAGTCGCTCAGTTCAACTCGAGAGTTCACCATCAAAAACTATCAGTGGTTGAAAAATAATTCAGAAATGAATTTGATTGTAACGTTACTCTATTTGAATGTATGGCTATTGAACAATTAACAATAGAAGTCCTTTCTCAGTTTCATTCCTAAGAATCATATATCAATAAATTGAATATGTATTTAAAATATATATATATATATTTTTCATTTATTTATACATATAAGTTAACCGATAGATATTTTCATCGGTAACCCGGTTTTCTCGTACTTATTTATTTATTTTTGTCGGACGACGAACCAGAACCAAACGACGCAGATGGGAGCCGTCAGTCAGGACACAAGTCCTTTTGATTTAGGGAGAGTCAACAAACTATATATATATATATATTTATAAACAAAACAAATAGATAGATAAATAGCTATAATATATATATATATATATACAAAGATATACAAAGATATGGGCATCTCAAAGGAATCAGTGAGGACTTACCTCCAATACAATCTGTTTGACAGTTTGCGTTTGGTTGACAAGACCCTATTCAAACAGAAGCTGGTAGGTCTGGCAATTGGTCAAATTGTGTCGCTCTGTATCACAGGCACTGGAGTGTTCAGTCAGCTTCTGGTGATAAACTACAACGTCAACATTCCCACGGCCCAATCGTTGCTCAACTACATTCTGCTCATGTTCTACTCGATCGTGCTTATCAAACGTGGCACCTTCTGGCACAGTATCAAGACAAAGACCATCTTTTTGCTTCCATTGGCATTCATCGATGTCGAGGCCAACTACCTGGCAGTTAAGGCCTACCAATACACCAGCATCACCTCTGCCATGTTGCTCGACTGTTGGACCATCCCATGCGTCGTTGTCCTGACCAGAATCTTCCTCAAGACCCGCTACACATTGGTACAAGTATTTGCCGTCGTACTTTCCATTAGTGGAATGGTCCTTCTTGTTGTCTCTGATTTGCTTCAGGGAGAGTCTGCCAACGGTGGTTCAAACCCACTGCTCGGTGACATGTTTGTCATCATCGCCTCATGTCTCTATGCTATATCCAACGTTGGTCAAGAGTTTACCGTCAAGAAGTATGATCAGTACACCTACTTGGCCTTGGTCGGTATCTATGGTTCAATTATCTCTGCCATTCAATTGTATGTATACTACCTCCTACCTACCAGTACCACTTCCAGACGGAACAATACTAACATTCTATATTATATTCACAGGTCAATTTTCGAAAGGAACGAGCTTCAAACAATGGTTTGGAACGGTGAGGTGGTTGGCTATATCATTGCTTTTGCCTTGTGTCTCTTTGCAATGTACTCAGTTGTGCCTCACCTGATGAGAATCGCAGGATCCACCTTGATGAACCTTTCCATTCTGACAGCCGATATTTACAGTGTCATCATTGCCATCTTCTTGTTTGACCGCAAGCTCAACTGGTTGTTCTACTTGTCATTGGTCGTCATCACATCGGCCTTGGCCATCTACAACCTTACTCAACCACATTACAAGTCCGAGGAAGTCCTAAAGTTGAAGGATTTGGAGTCGGCAGCGAACAATGAGGAGGAGGAGGACACCCAACCCCAGGTGGAAGAATACCAATCAACCCCAATGTCTGTAGAGGTCGTTGACAAGACTTCAGCGCCCACTACTGTTGTTGAAGCAACAATGACAAACGAAACCACATCTGACGATAGCTCTTCTGGTGAGAATCAAGACAACAACACTACAGTCGTCCAACAAGACGACCAGCAGGCTTCACACCTGGAGAACTCCAGAACCAACTTGATCACTGATGGACTTTAAACTATGATGTAGATCAACCAACCTTCCACCACCTCCCCAAAATGAAGTAGTACTCCGATCACATTACTGTTACATCTTTGTTTCATTATTGTTGTTGTTGTTGTTGTTTATATATTTGGATGTTGTTGTACGAATAGTAGTATCAGCATAATACCAATGGGCATCAAGTCGATGTTTATATACTCCTCCAGAGTTATCTTTAAATGGCGGTGACGTATGAAGCAGTGAGACCACCATCAACCAAAAATGTTGATGCCGTGACATAGGATGACTATGAATGATTGATCAGTTGGTTAGATAATGTAATGTGCTGTTAACAGAATGAAACATCATACCTCATCACTAGCCAAAAAGAGAGCACCATTGGCAACTTCATTGGCATAGCCAAATCTTCCCATTGGTAAGTGAACCAAACGTCTATTCCTCTTCTCGTCAGTGCTCAAGAATTTGTCCAACAGCTCCGTTCTTAATGGTCCTGGACAGAGGGCGTTCACACGAATGCCCTGCTTGGCATGAATGACTGCCAACTCTCTTGTCATGGCCAGTACACCTCCCTTGCTTGCAGTGTATGCTTTGGTGTACATGTAAGTGTTTGACTGCGTAGTATGTAATATAAGTTTGTTGTATATCTTACCAATTTGTGGAGTGGCAGCACCCATGAGAGCAACAAAGCTTGCAGTGTTGATGATACTGCCCTTTCCATTACGCAATAGAGCAGGGATTCCATATTTGCATCCAAGGAAAACACCCTTGAGGTTAACATTCATGGTCTTATCCCAGACCTCCTCGGTGGTGTTGATAGAGTCATCATCCTCCGATATCATAATACCAGCATTGTTGAACAGGATATCGAGCTTTCCATAGTTCTTTTCGGCAACCTCGATCATTTCCTTTACCTGAGCAGCTTGGCTAATGTCTTTTGTGTGTATGTGTCGCCAACAGGACAGGTCAGTAGGAATGATATGAAGTGTTGTTTGTTGCCCTATATAATTACCAGCTTGGAAGAAATAGGCGTTTCCTCCGTTGGATTTGATTTGGGAGACGACGCTGTTTCCCTTGTTGGCATCAAGATCAACGACCAGTACTTTGGCACCCTCCTTGGCAAAGAGTAAAGAGGATTCCTTTCCAACTCCATCGGCACCTCCTGTGATGATGGCAACCTTTCCGTCTAGACGACCTCCTATTGTTATTTGTTAGAGATCAGATGGTTTGTTGTGTGCTGGGATGCAAAACATACCAGAGGACTTGATGTTGGAGAAGGATCTATATCCCAATGATATGACTGATGTCTTTAGTGTTCTAGTAAACATGTTGTTTAATTGTAGTATTATTTAATAATCAATGAGTACATGAATGAGTAAAAATTGGTGTGAACAATGTAAGTGTGTTTATTAGTGATGATCACCAGATATTTATTTATAATTTTTAATTTAATTGATGGATTTGAAGGTGACTAAAAAAGGAAATAATCATCATCATTGAGACTTCATACCTTTGAACTCTAGATGCCGAAAGATGTCCTTAGCTATGAGCAGCCACAACCCACTTGTCATGACAATACAAGGGTGGAGTCTTGGATGGAAGGTTGGCTGGCGAAGAGGTTGTTTGCATAGCTTCTTGGGTCGCCACTGTGCTCACATCTTAGCTATCATTGTAGTACCTTCATCGCTTCCTGGCCATTGTTGCTTGCAATGGCTAGTCATGCAACACATCCAACTCGCCTGTCAGTGGATCGCAAACAAGACACGCTTCCCTATCCAATCCTTGACTGTTACAAACGTGCTTCTTCTCACATAAGTGTCGATTTAACTCCTTTGACGTCGTGAACTCTGCTTCACACCACGTGTGCAGACACTGTTACTCTTTCGCCTGCCTATTGAAGTGCCCACACAGGATAGACTGCAAGCAACAGCGTCGCATTTGGGATGACTCTTGTTCTCGTGATTCGACAACGCACTGGCTGACGAGTGAGTGGCGCTCCAATCCAGCCACCACAATGATGGTGGCGGCAAACGAACGCCATATATATATATTGCTCTCTCTCCCTCTCTCTTTATCTCTATCTATGAAGTTCAACAAAATGCGCACCATTTAAAATCAAAAAAATAATTAGTTCACCCTTACCCTCTAATCTCTTCGACTTGACCAAAGTTCACCCAAATTCACTTACTTATTATTATTTGTTGTTAGACACAAAAACAACATATACATACTACAGAGGCAATAATGCTCGCGTCACTACCCGTATATACCCTATGAATAATTGTATCATATCTTGAATATATTGATATACTATGTCTTCTATTAGTTTGCAAAAAGATATTCTTGTTGCAAAACATTTCGCCGTCATTTTTAGACTACAATTCAGAGTCTACAGTTCGCGAATGCCTCCAAGCGTTCATCCTCTGATTATTCCCACTTAGAACCCCCTATTTCCTTCTTTGGAATGTTTTTTGATCAAACAAGCACTGTTTTAGGTGAATGTGTTGCAAAACACACAGTTAATTTGAAGATGAGTTATTACCCACTAGTCAAGTGCCTTCATCACAACATTTRTTCCATTTAGCCCCAAATAAGGGTCTAGACAACCCCCATCAATAGTTTGGGTGGCAATGTATAGTTTTGACATTATTATTTGTAGATAAACACTGTCTTATTAATTATCTCTCAAACAGAGTATGAGTCGCAACTTTGTCTTTCATCTCAACAACAAAAAGAAGAAGGGGAGGCCACTCTCCGATCACATTGAGTTAGATGAACTATCTCCAGCAACAAAGGTTGCGAGAACATCAACMACCTCAACAACCCMACTTCAAACAGCGCCAACACCATCACATCAATCTCCATTCCTTTACACCAATATGACCAACCTTTTAAATGATGATGACAACAGTACACAACAGTCTGACGACGACAACATATCAACTGTTGAGGGGCTCCTAGAGTTGGCCCGCTCTCCTTTTACATTGCCCACCAACACCAACATCCAGCCATCACTGTTGGCTCCACAACCATGGAACACTTCAACAAACACCGGCATCCATTCACCACTACTGTCAACTCAATCATGGAGCACTTCAAACAGCCGCGTCCAGTCATCACAGCAGTCTCCACACCCATTGAGCACTTCTACAWCAACAAACACCATCATCCAGCCACCACTACACTCAGCACAATTGTCAACTCAATCATGGAAAACTTCCAACACCATCCAGACACTACCACAAACACAGCAATGGCACACTTCGACCACAAACACCAGCATCCAGTCACCACTACACTCTGCACAAGGGTGGAACACTTCCAACAACATCCAGTCATCACTGCAGTCTCCACCAGGCTGGTCTCCACAACAATTGGGCACTCCGACCAACATCCGGACTCTGCCACAACGATTGGACACTCCGACCAACATCCAGACTCTACCACAAACACAGCAATGGCACTCTTCGACCACAAACACCAGCATCCAGTCACCACTATACTCTGCACAATTGTCAACTCAATCATGGAACACTTCCAACATCATCCAGTCGCAGGCAATACCACATACACATCCACAGTACACTTCTCCAACCAATACCAGCATCCAGCTACCACCACCACATCCACCTTGTCGACAGGACATTGATGCCTCAACAAATAACAATAATACAAAATATAGTATTGACCTCGTGAAGCAATTGGTACGTGAGGATGGCGTCTCTTGCGATGCGTGCACCTACTCTGTGGACCGTCAACGTCTATCCAATTTATATCAACATATTAGAATCAAACATTATACTCTCTTGGATACAAAGTCTGTTCCTCTTGCCCCAGTACCCCTCCCTATCTTTGACAATGAAGGCAATCAGTTGACAAGGAGGTGTGATCATGTCGGATGCGGTAAACAGATATCATTACCAAACTGGTCCAGGCACGTTAATGAGACCGAGCATCACAAAGAACGTCAGAGTGAGCAGGGGGTATGCAAGAGGTGTCATGGTGTACTCATGAAGAAACAGTTGAAGGTTATGGATGATAGACACAACATGAGCGCCAAAGCAGGTATGTTGCAATCAAACAAACAAAAAGACAATCAATCAATCAATCAATCATTCGATCGTAAAGCAATGATAGACCATTAACATTTTGAACAAACACATCATCCACTGCGCAGACCTCCCATTGGAAGAAGTTGCCAAGATCAAGTTTGATACAAAGACACCAGATGCAGTTTGGAAAGAGAGAGCGAGAGCGATTGGATTGAATACCAAGACTTATTCTCTGCATAACATCAGAGGTGAGATGGAAAGGATAGCGAATAGTCAGCTGGATCTAGTAAGGACTCCAAACGGCTATCATAACCCATTGGCTAAGACATTAAAGCTCGCCATCGATACCGACACTGTCCACCTTGACTCAATGAAGGAATCCCGACTACCTTTTGAGAACTCGGCACTGCTCGGTTCTGCTCAGGATGCGACTCAAGGAATGTCTCCAGAGAACCCGATCGACAAGGATGTTCGAATCATCTTTGATGGTGCCAAGATGAACAAGAACAACAGGAACCCTACAGAGATTGGTGCTCTCCAAATCATTGATCCTCTCAAGACTGTCTCGAGACTGAAATCACCTGATGATGGAGTGATGTTTCTGTCTTTCACTGGCGCCGAGACTACTAAGTCTCTACGGGAGAATCTAGAGCCTCTCAAGAACGACCTGGAACTTCTGCACCGCTCCGACAACATTTGGAAGATCAATGACAAGTACTATCGCTTCAGTATCATGTATACGTTGGACCTTGCATGCATTGCTTCGCTGCTTGGAATGTGTGATGTGTTTAAGTCGAACTCCACCTATCGATGTACACATTGCCATTGCACCAATCACACAATCAACTGTGTGTTGGCCAACGACATGTTCACTCTCAGGACACTGGAAACAATCACAGAGGATGCTGATAAGATCAAGGCCGCGTTGGAGAGGGGGTCAAGAAGATACAGGCAAAACTGTTCCATGGACTGGATGATGTTCCTGCCATGATAATTGACCCATTGGAAATCATCATTGACTCATTGCATTCGACCATTGGAGGCACCAAGTTTTACACGAAGAGGGTCTTGGTATATGCTGATGATCCGAGTGTAGATGAATTGACTAGGTCGACTCTTACCAACGACTTTACTTTATTCCTTACTACTACAGTTAAGTTGCAGTTGATTGGCGATACTTCCAAGGATGGCTCACATGTAACCCTCAAGGACCGTTTCAGCAAGAGTGCTGTGAACTACAATGAGTTCCGGAGGATACTCAAGCACAAGGACACATTCCTCGACATCCTTGAAAGGACCAATGTAGTACCTACGGATACAATGACAGATGTAAGTCTATTCTCACCATGAGTCACATGACATCAACTGAAAGTGTGTCAATCATACATTGGAATCACTCACTCATACAATCATTTAACATTCAATGTAGATACGATTGGTTTGGTCTCAATTTCACTATCTTATTACTGCGATGATCACTGATCACCCGACCCATATCAAGGAATACCAGTGGCGCTTCATGGCTGAGAAGCTTGGAACCAAAACAGTTGGCCTTTATGGCAAGCTCACCTATTTGCACATACTCATTGCCCACGTAGGATTATATGTCGAGAGAATTGGAAATCTGGAACGAGTGGCACTGTTCTGTGGTGAATGCCAACACCAGAACAACAGATCCAATAAGGACCGTATGTCCAACGGCTACAGATGGAAACTGACAACTCAATCGCCACAGTCAGAGTCACACAGCCACTCAGAATCACACAGCCAGTCAGAGTCACATAACCAGTCACATTCACAAGGCCAGACACATTCACAAGGCCAGGCACATTCACAAGGCCAAACACATTCACAAGGCCAACACATTCACAAGGCCAAACACATTCACAAGGCCAGACACACAGCCAGTCAGAGTCACACGACCATTTACATTCACACAGCCACTCACAGTCAAGCGGCCAGTCACATTCATTGACAGATTCAAATGGATCGGCAGTAGACAATACAGATGAGGGTGACAATGATCAACAGACAACACCAAAGCAATATAAAGATATCAACTATCAGATGCTTCAAAGCGCAGCCAAGTACCTGTATTTCGCCAACAAGCCAGATGAAGCAACCAAGATGAACAATTGCTACAGAACAATCCAGGCTGAGATAAAGAGAGACAAAGAAGTCAACGAAGCTGTCATCTTCAATCTTCCTCAACTCTTTGGAATCAATTCAATCAATGATATCCCGCAGCCCGCAGCCTCAAGTCAACGCCATTACCTCAATGCTGAGGTGACAGCTCTATACATTGGTAATGAGAATGATCCAGACAATGGATCATGGTGGGATGCAATGGTTGTCGGATACAACCACACTACAATGACCTACAGTATCAAATACAATGTGTACGTATTTAAAGAAAATTAATTAACTCTATATTCTAACCGAAACATAATTACAGAAAGTCCGACTCTGACATCAGCAGCTCTTCCACCAACTCCACCAGCTCATCATCCAGTTCTTCCACCAGCTCCTCATCTAGTTCTTCCACCAGCTCCTCATCCAGTCCATCCACCAGCTCAACGTCCAACTCTTCCACCAGCTCAACATCCAACTCTTCCACCAGCTCATCATCCAACTCTTCCACCAGTTCATCCAACTCTACTTCAAAGTCATCCAAGACAAGATCAACAAAGTCCAAACCCTCTAGCAACAACAATAATAACAACAGCAACAACAATAATAATAACAACAACAACAGCAATAACAACAACAACAACAACAATGGAAAGCAGAGGAAGGATCCCAACAAACATGTTTTCCATAATATACCAGAGAACTATTTGACAATTCAATTGAATTGCACCTGTTGTATTGATGCACTCATTAGGATGTTTATCTTTATATTACCTAAGATCAACCTTAGGTGCGATCTATCGGAGCATTGGGTGTCCATAACATATGAAATATACTGTAAGTTCATTCACTATGGCACTCGAGGGCAATGATACATACACCATGGGAGCGATGTTGGCAATTCAAATGGTGGACCGTCTAATGCCATGTGATGATCAATTGATGGTGACAAGTTAATTGATGGTGTTTGAATGGAGTACAGTGCTTGTGGAGATGCCTGGATCAGGTATGAGCTGTTGTCGTGGTGGGCCAGCTGATGATACTGTTGCTCATTAGTAAGTTGCTCGTGAGTGTGCTCCTGATACTGCTGCTGTTGTTGCTCGTGAGTGAACTAGTCATGATGGTCAGATATTGAGGGATCGTCCAAACTATCATTCATAATGACATCGATCTGCTGTTGATGTTGTGGCTGTTGTCGTTGTTGATGTTGATCCTTTTGCACCAGATTCTTGATGTTGTCAACCTTGGGCTTGTGAACGTTGGCTGAGATGAATGTTGTATCGGTAGAGTGTGAGGAGATTGGGGACGGACAACCACCTCCACCATTGTCAGAGAAGGTCTGATCAGGTTCATCATCCTCATGTTGTCTGTCTTGCTCTGTAGGGCAAGCGGCGATGTGATCCTTCAGTCTCTCAAGGCAGTGGACAAGGTCAATGTCAATATGTTTCGACTTGTTGACATTGTCAATGAGCAGTTTGATTCTGCTCTTGTCAAAGCCAATGATCATCAATACAGCGATGGTGTGTTTGCAACGTGTGTAGCATGAGTGGCTCTGGTACTTGTTCTTTGGCTGTGTGTCTTGAACACAAGGATCAGAGAGTTGACTGTGTGTTATCCAATCGTGTAGGTCGCATTATCATTCTCCTTTGATTGGCTGGAGGGCCTGGACTTGGTATCAGTGTTGCGAAAAAAGCGACCATTGGCTACAGATGAAGTGAGTGATGGTGGAGAGTGTTAGGAGTGAATGGTATGATTCCTTGCCATAGATGCTACTCGATACTCACATTCTTTGTGCAAAGATTAAAGTTCGATCGAAGGTTGGCGGGCGACGAGACGTTGTGGAGGATATCCAGTGCTGCCTTGAAGTTCCGTCCATACACCTTGTGTGAGGGTGATGCCAGAGCGTTGCTTCTCCAGGTCTAAGGCTGGTCGCATGGCTTCTTTGGTCACCACTTAGCTGCATATCAAACAGAAACTTGTCGTGACAACTCTGCTATATACACTGGTTGTGATCCTGGGCAGCATGGGCAATCGATGGAGGATTCGACATATGGTCATATGTGCTGGTCCAAGATCGATCGAGTGTTGGTACATCTATAAAAGGGTAAACTCTCTCTAAAGTGTTGTTCTCTAGCATGTTGTTGTTCTTGTTGCTGCTACAGGCTTGGAAGATCGTCGCACACCAACCAAGGACCAACATCATCCAACAACTCCTATGATACTCCAACAGACTCGACTCATCAAGATGAAGCGATATATACCACATTCATTGCCTTTGATGTTGGTCCTTGGTTGGTGTGCGACGATCCAAG